TAATAGCCGCAGTATTTATAGCTAGGTATAGCTACGTCATACCCATAGGTCAAGGATTTTGACCTCTTTTAAATGAGATGCCTCGTTGTACATCGGGAAATGAATGCTATAGTAACATCCTCGAAGAGCCGAGGAGTGTAATTAGTAGAATTGTATACTTTTTATACATTGTAACTTGGATGGAGAGTTGTCTCATTGGCACTCATACCACATCTTATTTATATATAAACGGTTAAGCTATACCAGTGCTCGGGAATGTATAGTTTCTAGGTTAAAAAGTAATTATCCAGATTTAAACATTGGTTTACACACTTTGAGAACAGGTTGGGCTACTGCAGCCGCCAATTCAGATGTAAACGAACATTGTTGGAAAGCATAAGGTCGGTGAAAAAGCGACACTATTAAAGATGGTTACGTAGCTGATTTCCTCGATCATCGGCTTCAGGTAACAAAAAAAACTTGGTTTGTAAATTTGCCAAAGATTTTTAATTTCATTTTTTATCAATAATTACTGATTTGATTTGTATATTGTATTCATATTGCATTTCTTACGCCCGTTCTTTGTTTTTCTAGTCTGTCTGCACGGCAAAATGCATATATGAGTCTGAGTTTAATTTAGTTGGCCAAAATTATAGTGTAGTTAAGACATATATGTTACAGCGTTTCGCAGTATAGCGGGAAAATACTATCTGAAAGTTTCAATCATGTTTTGTATGGGCCAATGATGTATGCTTTGTTAGGTAATGTGACCTTATGTTTTGTTATGGTAATAAATTTTCGCGGGTACGTGAAAAAAGTGTCTAAGTGGTAATTCTAGCCGTAGACATCGTACAGTCAAAACTTCCTTTATGCTTTTCGTATCAATTTTATATTGTCATAATCATGATGAGGTTCGGCATCATTACCCAAAAACGGTTTTTGCATTGCTCCGTGACGCAGGTTTATTTAGTTTTTTTTCCTTGCCGGCGAGTGTCCGTTTATGACGGTTATTTATAATATGATAATTAACATAAGGAATGTTTTCGAAAGTATATAGATATTTACTGCTGTTGCTGGTAGTATATTAATTTTTTGTTCACCAAGTTGTGTGTAATATACTTTGAATAGATACTATCATTGTGATATATGATGTTTGCATATTATGAGATTACTGTATTGTTGTATCAGATGACATAAAATTTGATTAAATGCTAGCTCCATTCTGTCTACACGGCAAAATGCATATTTGAGATTAAGTCTAATTTAGTTGGCCAAAATCATAGTGTAATGAAGACAAATAGTTTACACGTTCTAGTAGGCGGTATAACCAACCTGTGTTCAAATTTAAAAAAAAAATAGCTGTCAAAGAAAAATAATTAAACAATTGCCAATGATTGGACAATGATCAATAAAGTAGTCGCTACAATAGAAAGTAAAACAATTTTATAGAGTCAATTAAAGTAAAATTCCTTGTTAGAAATTTAGTTATTCACATTGAAATATGTTCTTATCACACAATTACAAAGCGTATATCATATTCGTGTTGAAGTGATGTCATACCTGATTCTTTTTAAATATCATATCCTGATTGAGTCTTGATGCATGAATTATAAAAATATGCGCGAACCTCCGTGTATGGAACTTGGTACTGAGCATCAGTGAATGGATTATAAGGCACTGTAAAGCGGCGTTCACACATATCCGATTATATGGCTCTCGTTTGAGATCAGACAGCGCTACGACACGAAAAGTGAAAAACTCGGATTTTTTTCAATCATCTAGAATTATCCTATCATTCTTTGAACGCAGTGGTATACGTTCGTAACATAATCCTCCTAATTGGGAATGGTCTGGAGAGGTCGGCTAAGCACTGCCGATAGTTAGTTGCGTCCAGTTACATTCTGGAAACCCAACCGATTTCGTCTAGTCGGATCAAAATCGTGACTATGTCATAACATATTCTGTTGTATAGGATCAAAATCGTTACAATCTCCTTCGTAGTCTCGACGGTTTCTAAACAGTGTCCATGTGGAACGTGGCATTGTTAATACCGTTTCTTTTCGATTGGGTCCAGATTGTTTCCAGATCTTGCCAAATGCTATCTACTGCATTAGTTCACACTCTGGTCACCGGATCGAATTCGTGATTCAAAAAAAATTAAAAAAACAAATAAAAAGGATTAGAATCGGATTAAGAATGGATAATCGGAACAAATTTGACTGAAAACGGCTTAATCGGGACGCATTATGAACAACATATAATTGTTGTCGTCGTAAAAATGAATGTTTTACATGTTTTAATTTTGAGCCACAAATCACAGGATCTTGATTCGACTGTTGACAAATTGTAATCGGGAATGTACCTCAAAAACGGCAGTAAAAGTCCTGAATCTGTGACAAGGGATTAGTAAATGTGCTAAAGCAAGCAATTGATATATAAATGATGGAATACATTAATCAAATCATGTTAAAAAGGCTACCTAGACAATTTACAAGGTGCACTTGAAAGGTTCATGCCACCCGGTATCACTTATTTTTTCGCGACTAGAATGATGACAGCTGTTGTTAACTGATAAGTAAGTAGGACAGGGTAAAGGTTTCGGTGGGAGTATCGTCTGCAGTCAGTGGGTGTGCCCCACTAATCTGGCAGGATATGGAGAGATTAATATTAACATGTCAATGTTTGCTAATATTTTGGGTTCTCTTCTGTGTTCCCACAGAGATTAGCTTGGGTCTTCTTTGATTGTACCAAACATACCGATTCCTGAATTGGTCCTAGATCGGAGCTCAGCTATTCTCTTTGACTTTTAATAACTTGCAATAGACCACTTTCGAGTTCGTTGCATTTCCATCAAAACCTTTAGTTTTAGTGAACATCATTCGCGCGTTTAGGGGCATCGTCACTTTTTTCCCATGTTGAACGAGTGGTTGAAAAAATATAATGCTGTTTTGCACGAATTATTCTGCAAATTAAATTCTTATAATTGATAATCAGCACTGCTGTCATTATGGAATTGTGAATGTTGAACTGTAACAAAGCTGATTTATACGCTAATAAAGAATTTGTTAAATTCAATGCAACAAGCGTTTTTTACCTGATCACTTTTTTATCTGCAAATATTTGGAACAAACCAGCTGAACATTTTGAAGAAGGGGATTTCCAATGAAATATACATACATTTGACTTCGTTAGACTAAGGGAATAGTACATATTATCTGTGAATATTCATCTCTACAAATACACATTTTTACAGATGTAGAAAGTAAAATAACAAAAATACCGAACTCCGAGGAAAAGTCTAAACGGAAAGACCCTATGCAAATGGCAAAATCAAAAGCTCAAACACATCAAACGAATGGATACCATCTGTCATATTCCTGACTCGGTACATGTCTTTAGTTTATATGCATCTCAGCAGATGTACATCAAGATTGCTTGTAATAAAGTAGATTTATGAGCTACATAATGAATGTAAGTCCAGAAAAACTACAAAAAACAACAACATCAAATATTTGGAACAAACCAGCTGAACATTTTGAAGAAGGGGATTTCCAATGAAATATACATACATTTTACTTCGTTAGACTAAGGGAATAATATACATTCCTGTTATTTAGAAGCCACATGGTATTCTCAATACTATTTTAATAATTTCGAACACTGGACGCCGGTCAATTTTGTAAATTGACTGTTCATACAACTTAAATATAATGATCCTAAAGTTTTTCTTTCCACAGGAATAGAAGGTCGTAGCCAGATTTAGCGCATTTGTTTTTCTAATTTTTACTTTTAAATTCCTTTGAGTTTTAATATTGAGTTGATATTCCAAATTTTTGGATTTGATCGCTATTAATGAGATTGGCGACTAGATACGCATGTTCAGCGTTTAAATTTATAAGCCTAGTATCTTTCATTAGCTTGTTATATTCTAACATGTTATCTATAACATTTTAAGAAAGGTGTTTTCATTACATTTCCAGTCAGAACTATGTTTGTTTGAACATTTAAGAAATATTTATTTATCAACAAGTCTTACGTTTTTGTTGTTTGTCTCATTCCTTTTGTTCACTTACAAACTGAGTATTTCATGCAACAAACAACCAACATTTTGACTATAAAAACAACTTGTCATGAGTGTTCTTAAAGATGACTGCTAATTACAAATTCACGATATCAAATAACCACGAGAACGCCATCTTCTTCTTTTCTCTTTTCGCCGCGATATAGCCTTTTGTGCTGATGCGGAGTAAAGCAATCACCAATCAATCAATCCTTTCTCTTTACAAAGAGTTAATGCGGTAACCATTTAGTCACTAGTCATCTGATGTTTAAACTTTACTGATTGTGGATTCGAATGGCGGATGATGCGTGCATGGCAAGTGAAGCTTATCCTGTCGACGCTCCTGGTCTCTCTACTGAGTCTCTTGTATTTCATGCGAACCCCTCAGAATTTTTTATTTACCTGATTTGTATGTTATAAATGCATTGATGAGATTTGAACATCGGGGAACTAATGTTGCCTCTAATTTATACCACAATTTGTTATATGAATAATGTCTTCAGAATATGTTTGTCCATACAACTTTAGAAGTTTGTAACAAGGCTTTTCGGAATATATCCCGATGAAATTTGCGCGAAAAATGTTTTTGTTCTTATATTTACCCTTTTCATAATCTAATAGAAAATGAAAATTTTCAATGACAGTAGTATACCAAGTTTGTTCTATTACTATTAATTAGATAGAACATTCTATATATCTAGCAAAGACAAGCCTAAATTATTTCTGACCTTGTATTGTATAAATGCCAAAACTTTCAAATAACAAACCCAACAAACACGAGAATAGATGTGGTTCAATAACATTAAACTTCAATTAAAGTTATAAAAATATGAAAATTATTTAGATATAATTCATATTAGACAGTAAATGTTAAATCTGATCGATCTTCTTTTCAACATCATTTGTAATTTTTCACGCATACATTCGATTTGTACTTTTTGAAGTAAATGTTGCATTGGTGTTTTGGAGTGAACAAATATTAACAAAAATTGCATTCGTCTGATTATTATTTTGCAGGTGTGTTAATTCGACGAATACGTTAAGGACAAAACAGTGAGAAGATATAGTGATGATGACGATGATTAGCTTGAATTTTATGTCATTGCTATATATTTGCAATGGAAATCCAACAGTAAAGTATGTCTCCCCATTAATGGATGAAATGCAGAGGGTTCCTTTAGTTGCTGTTCTGAACACAAGTGATATCAGTAGAAATATTCTAGAAAATTTAGAGAAGCAGTTAACTACAAGAGTAAGACAAATCGTTGAGGATAATGTAGGCGATATCATACGTCAGCAGATAGATGCAAAATTTAACGAAATTGGAATTGTAGGCGATACTTCAAGAAAAGATGTCTTTACTTTGAAAAATTCTATTGCTCATACAGATGAAGGTAATATGTTTATTTGTATGCATGTATTATTTAATAAGACATGTATTAGCTTTACAGAAATAAACATTGTATTTATTTTTCATGCAAGAAAAAATATTATAATGCAATATTAATAGCATACTCCCTTGTGATTATGTGCATAAATATATTCTGATTACTAATACTGTAAACCAACTATTTTTTGCGAGCGATTTATGTTCGCAAATTTCTCGAGTAGAAAAATAATGCGAATATAAATCGTCGCGAATATGTAAACTTGAATTTTTCCTTCTTTATCTTCATCAAGTTAATTTTGCAATCGCAAAATTAATTCGCCGCGAATTGGGTTAGAAAGAGCTAAACGCGAAATAAAGTATCCGCGAAAATAAGTTGGTTTACAGTAACTAATTAAAGCACAAACATACATGTAGCACATAAGTAATGATGATTGAAACGTTTTAATTTTAAAAATGAATTTTCTTAAAACCAATGAAATGATAACGCAATACAAATGAGAAGTTAATATCCAAATGTTGCCCCTTCCCCTCCCTGAACTTTCTGACAAAAGGGTTTTCTATCTCTACTTTTTACCGAAAACTAATTTGTTTAAATCCGTAACCGTAACCAGTTCTGCTCCGCAAATAGGTACTATTGCATTACTCATTGCGAGTATCAAATTGAATATAGTTACAATTTCTATATGAATATGATATTTCAATTAATAAAGTTTTTAGCATTCTATGTATTCTCCCTGTCCAAAATGATAAATAAATTGCAGTACCTTTTAAAAACAAATACACAATTTATGGTTCTCATTTGTTTTAAAGGTGTTGTTAGAGACTGTAGTGATCTACCAGATGGGTCCAGAAGTGGTATTTACACGATAAAGCCAGATCATTCACAAGGCATTGATGTTTATTGTGAAATGAAAGTTGACGAGGGCGGATGGACGGTAAATGTTTTTTTGATATCTGAATTTTGGAATGAATGTATTCATACATATGTTTTAATGGCTTAGAAATATCGACTTAAAGAAAATTTGATTGAAGAATCATTATTGGTAATAAAAAAATCATATCTGTATGAGTTCATTATTGAGTGCAATAACTGATAATATATTCATTTCGTTAAGCCTACAAGTTTAATATATATATATTCCTTTATATGGAAATCTTAACCACTCACAGATAACTATTACAAAAGGAAAACAGTAAATATCTACGTTGTATTGTAAAATAAAATGTAATGTCATCAAATCTGCAAACAAAAATGAAATTTATTTAACGTATATGTTTCACTCATTTCACATATGGAAGCAAAATATACGGTTTGAATAATGCATATGATTAAGAACAACTAAACATATTATTATTTCAGAGAACAATTTAACGTATTTCTACCTCACATGTTTAAATGAACTTAGATGCAAAATACTTTTCATTACAAAAAAAAAACGTTGTCTGTAGATAATTTATATTGAACATAGCTGTTCTTTTCTTTGAAATAAGGGAGCTGATCAGCTACTTCCGGCGCTACCTTATAGCTTAATTTTGACTGATTCCGAAAATATATGGTTTACATATATTAGTATTGTCCTTGGCAAAAGGGAAATACTTGACATCTTCCTATGTACAAATGCCACTTTCTGTGTCATATGATAGCTTATATAAAATGATTTAAACAATGTATGGTTTCTATATACTATGCTTGAAATAAGAGGGGAGATAATGTGCATTTTTCCTGTTAACAGAATGTCACTTTTGGTTCATATGATAGTTTATGTCACACTTATTATAAAATTATATGGTTTCTATGTCCTTCACATAAAAAATAGTTCAAAAATGTATACTTCTGGTTTCGACCAGGTCATTTTAATCAAAGGTTACAGTGTCTTAGAATTTCTTGTATGTTTTATACAGACCTTCTATAATTCAAACTGACCACACGCACGATACACGTACGCACGATACACGCACGGTGAATATGTATGTATATTTATATTTCATGCTATATCTATATATGATATGATTTAGTTCTTTGGCATTGTTTAGGTAATCCAGAGAAGAGAGAATGGTTACCTTGATTTTTATCTCGGATGGGAAAAGTACAAAGAGGGATTTGGAAATCTTAATCGAGAATTTTGGTTAGGTAATGACTTAATATGTGCTTTAAATCAGTTTTATGTATGTTACCTAAATGATTGGCATCTATAGAACTTAAGTAAATATGAATTTGAATTCAGATATTAATCTCAAACTGATATTCTTAAATAGTAATGATATCAATAAATTATAATCCTGGTATTAGATAAGCGAATTTTCTGTTCACAATCGGTTATATAAAATTGCAGAACGAATTTTCTATTAACAATCATTTATATTAAAAGGTTCGATTAGTTGGTTATTGAATGTATTATCATCTCCACTGATGACTTAGCATGGGCTCAGATTCACATAAGTTTTACCTGTAATATGACAAAAATACCATTTATTCCCCGATAATCTTGAGGGATTTATATAATCTCAGAGTAAGCTTTCAGAGTTTTGTAAAACTAACGTTTATCCACATCGATAATGTGTTATCCTAGACTGGTTTCCTGTCTTTTATCTGTTTGGTTCTTACAGCAATCGGCTAACCTCGGGTGACTCCGCTTCTCTCCATCTGTTATAGAAGTACGGAATCGACCGAGGTTGTGACGAATGGTTCTTACAGACGACAAGAGTGACTCAGATACCCGTATGTGGTTTGGGAAAAAGGAGGGGGGAGTGTCCCTCATTTCTTTATTCTAATTTTAAGATGATTATTTTCTATTCTTTATTTATGTTGTCATTATTCTCTATTCTTTATATTTTAGCACCCCACTTTTCTCTATTTTTTATATTTTAGCACCCCCACTGTTTTCTTTTTTTTTAATTATTTTTCTCTATTCTTTATTTATTTTTTTCCTTTATTCTGCACTCTTTGCCCATTATTCTCTTTTCTGTACACCCCATCCAGAACCTCATAAGTAGAACTTATAACTTTGGGCTGAACGAAATATATATAAAATCTGTTAGATTATCACATATATCATATTTTAGAAAATAAATTCGACTAAGAAAGATGCGTCTTTTATATTTATTTTTGATTTCAGGTAATGACAATATTCATAGTTTGACATCACAAGGGAGATACCAGCTTAGGATAGACCTTTATGACTTTGACTTCTATCATGCTTATGCTAAATACCAACATTTTTACGTTGGAGACGAAGAATCTAAGTACAATCTAGATGTTTATGGTTATAGTGGGACTGCAGGTAATTTGAATATATATTCGTCCACAGCATGCCATCTAATGAATGTATCTACTTGAGATTCATGACCTGTCGAGCTTTTGCAAATTATAAACTTTCAAATTTATCAACGAAAAAAAAAAACAACTTCGTGCGGCCGAATCGCTTTTTTAGATTTACCTTCATCAGAAACGTTTATACTTTTTAAAATATTTGAAAGCCAAGAATGTATTAACACATAAAAAGATATATTTTCAAAAGGGACCTAAACGAACCTAAAAGGTATAGCTAAGTTCGTCTAAGGTCATATAAAGATAGCATGATAAGTTTGGAAATTCATGGAAGGAAAGTGTGGTATAATCGGTTTTTATAATGGGTAATAATTTGATAAAACAATTATGTAGTATTCCCTCGGGGATCTCAATTTGTCCCAAGAAATTGTAATACAATAGTGTAATTATCAGTAACATATCATATTTTAATGATAGCAGAGTCTTAAGGGGCTATGGTATGAAAATAAAATTAAAAGAAAGGGACTTGTAACAAGTTGTATAACTATATATATATATATAAATAGCTAAGTTCGTCTAAGGTCATATAAAGATAGCATGATAAGTTTGGAAATTCATGGAAGTAAAGTGGTATAATCGGTTTTTATAATGAGTAATAATTTGATAAAACAATTATGTAGTATTCCCTCGGGGATCTCAATTTGTCCCAAAAAATTGGAAATACAATAGTGTAAGTTATCAGTAAACATATCATATTTTAATGATAGCAGAGTCTTAAGGGGCTATGGTATGAAAACAAAATTAAAAGAAAGGGACTTGCAGCAAGTTGTATAACTATACACTGCTGGACATTGAAAATAGACATAAATGTTTTTTAAAAATTGTACCAAAGCAAATCAAGAAACAGTATACAGCAAAAAGACAATAACCAGCTACTGTAATATAAATAGGGAAGAACAAAAATTTGCTTGATATATAAGGCATGAAGATGGAATTGATTGCAGATTAGCTAACTATCTATCGTAAAGGATCGTAAGATACAGTCACAGAGATAATTATTTTGATAAGTACGTCTAAACAAGTGGTTTAGAGCGCTGGACACAGTGCAGGCGGTGTTGTCTCGATATCCCAATAGCATATATCGAATCCCGGCGAGGGAAGAACAAAAATTTGCTTTCACAAATTTGCAGATTTAACATAGTTGTGCTGATATTTAGAGTAATTATGTATATATAATTATATAATCTAATAGAGTTCCTGTCCGACATTGTGCATTCGACATTTAAACAAAACGGGTTAACTTTGGGAAATTATCCAATCTTCATGATGGGCAATCATTATCTTTTATAAGTTAGATTACAGTTATTAAATAATTATGACGATTAACATAATTATTCTGAAATAACGTGATGCTGTATCAAAATTAAATTAAATTAAATCCTCGCCGAGTCTATTAAATTCACATAGATCAGTGGAGCGTCAATAAGAAATAAGTTTTAATACAAAATATCTGGCTTTAAAGATGGCACTGTTTGCTGGATTCATACGTACATGTAATATTTCTTTTCGAGAACACGTATCAATACTTTCCTGTGTCATTTTTTTTTTCCTATTGTAGGTGATAGCCTTGCTAGCCACAATGGCGTGGGTTTTTCTACATTTGATCAAGACAATGATGCATCGATTTATAATAACGCTGAAGAATGGCATGGAGGATGGTGGTATAAGTCAAATGATATATATTCTAATCTTCATGGGAAATATTTTTTCGGGGAATCAGACAAATTTTGGGAAGGACTTTTGTGGCGAACATGGAAAGGAAATAATTATTCGCTTAAATCTACGATTATGATGATTCGAAGGATGTAGAATGGTTAAAAGAGGAAATCTGCTTGGACATGAATTAGAGATAGAGAGCTATTACTTTGAAATTTTAAACAATTATATTTTGATGTATTTTCATTTTTCGTTTTTTGCCACCATTTATTTCCAATACCCGTTTGAAGACGGCTCTAACCCCTACGCAAATAAAAACCTTGAAGTTTAATAAGTATTTTGGCTTTATCGTTACAATGTCAAGCAAGTAAGGGATTACAAAACATGCGGCAGTATTCCTGAAGCTCAATCTGATTAAGATATCGATCCTGTGTCCAAGCTTTGCATAAAAGAATCTGACAACACTCTGTTCTACTTTCTGTTCTGGTAATAATTGCATCAGTTAATGAAATTTCAGCCTTCACATTTGTATTGTGTTTATCATTACAACAAAACCAGACTGAGGACCTCGATAGGTCTTTAAAACAAAAAGTTGAACGGAGCGTTGTCAGATCGATATAAGCAATGTGTTGACACCTGATCGGGAGGGTTGAGCTTACCATATACTGTGTGGTAGGGATGAGCCGCTGGAAAAGGGTCACTTTTTCAAGCTTCATGAAAGTTGATAAGGTCGAAAAAGTAAGATGAAATATATGACAAGGTTGCTGATTCGATCAATATCTGAAAATAATCAGATGTCGAATTTCTTCACAGATGCGATTAAAACTACATTCGTAAATGCATCCGATATTTGTCAATTTTATTTTTCTCTACGTGAAATAGCGTAAGCATGATACATTTTTGTTATTTCAAAATATAAGAAAAGGCTGGGGTACTCGGCTCATCCCTACCACAAAAAGATCGAAGTGGCCCCAAGGTTGACACAGGATATGTAATTCAATCGGATCATGAAGCCAGTCTGTATAGCTAGTGCACTTATGTTCACGAAATGGGCCTACGTTCAATGAAATGTTCTTCAAAACTGTTGATCAACGTAATGTATGTATTCAATACACGAGTGTTTGTTTCATAGATTACACTTCTCTCTTTAAACTCACCTGGCCCAAAGAGCCAATATGAGCGTTTGTCGTCATTTGGGAGTCGTTGTCTGTTTTCAGGCATTTGTCGTAAACTTTTTACAAAAATATGTTCATTTAAAACGATTTTTCCAATTGGAACAAAACCAGGCCTACACCGGGCCATTCTTAAGGTGAATGATGCATGCTAGATTAACCATTATTATCAACATAGCGGTTATTGTTTAAAACATCCTATCGGTAAAATAAAAAAAAATCAACAGAAGTTTCTGAAAAAATCCTGTAATAGACCAATGCGTTTAAATTTTTATCCCATTTTGAATTATGATGATGCTTGCAACCTGTTGATACATTACATCTATTGTTACTTTAGAAAATAGAAAATTGGTAAAAATCAATAAAAAAAATTCTTATTAATCATGTAGCTGAGTGTCACCATGCATTGGTTAAATGCTGTAAATGTGTAATCCTATGTACTAAGAACTATGGTCAATGAAAGACCAATTGCTAACAACCACATTCAAAACACGGTCGCCCATGTTACTAAAAATCGAAAATTTCACAAAGAAATCAAATAAATTAATTTGGAAAACTATATGGAGGATCATTTCTACCGAATCTGATTTAAATATCACCAGCCCAGGAGTCAACACTCTGTGTTGACATGAATTATCATTGATATGGTCATAATTATACATTAACTGTTTACAAAACTTGGAATTTTTCGAAACACTAGAGATTTTCTTCCCCATGAATAGATGACCTTGGCTGTATTTAGCAAAACCTATAGAGTTTTGGATCCTGAATGGACATCGTACTTATTTGGCTTTTATTCGAGCGTCAATGGTGAGTCTTTTGTAGGCGAAACGCGCGTCTGGCGTACTAAATTCTAATCCTGATGTCTATGATGAGTTTATTTAAATGTTACAGTTGTGATGCTCGTTTGATAATGTAGTTTTTGAAAAAAGTACACTTCCGCAACAACCATTAGCAATTCTGTATTATGAGCAATCTTGAAATGCAGAAAAAAAAAATGAAAATCCAGTACGCGACTGGCTACACGTTCCTGGACTAAAGGAGATAGAAATTGAAAAAAGGGTTGGAGAGGGGCCGATGTTGACAATGTGCATGAATTGATCTGGGTTAGCCACGAATGCAGGCTCTAGGTTCATTTTTTTCCAGTACTGTATTATATATGCTCATTGATCGCTGCTGTATAATCAAACATTTGATAACTATTTGTGCTTCAAGAAAACTTACCGAAGATTGGATCATGCTGTAAAGAAAAAAAAGTCAAAATCCATCTCTTTCTCTTTTCCCATATTCATAGTACAATCGTCTGCTTTAATCAAAAGAAGGGACAGTCAGTGAGGATCTGATGATAATGGACAATTATTTTGCCTGCCGCTGGGGATTCTTCAAAAGCTTGAATATGTGGTCAATATAGACAGTTGATAAAGTTATCATGAATGACTTGAGCGATAGCATAAGGAGTCCATGATGTTGAAAACAAAAGAGAGTTCGTCATGTTAATAGAATGAAATCATATATCGAAAATGATTATTACGGTTATAGTTCACCAGCTGTTCCCACGTCACTATTGTCACTATTGTAAGGTTAGACAATCTATACAAACAAGTAAAGTAGAAGAACTATTCGACTCCTAAAACTAATGCAAAACATATAAAATGTAAAAATAAGACTTTTCGGCAAATTGGCATTTATGATTTAAGCTTTCACATATATTATTTGAAAAAGAGAGAAAATGTGAAAATCTTGTTTTCTTAAATTTGGTTTTTTTTTCAATCTAAATTTCTAAAACCAGACCACCACAGTGACGGATCTTCATTAGGTGATATACTGCTAATTCCGCTCAGTCCATTGAAACTTAAATTCGTTAGAGATGATATTCAGAATACCACAAAAACTGTCAATTTCCGTACGAGTAGTTTATGGTACTTCTACCACGTCTTCCTGAAACCTGTTAAGAGTGTAGTATCTGATTTATTTGTTTTCTTGAGCGGCAGTTTCTTACCAACAGATAATTTACGTTATCTAGCTTTCTATATACAGAATAGCCAGTACATTTTGACCTCGCTTTTTCCAAAATATGTACCGTCTTTAATTTCTTCGTTCAATGTAATGGCCATACTGTTAGTAGCTGCATGGATTATTGGCAAACTATTGTCACCTTAATTTAGGCAAGTATTTAATGATGTGTTTAACTTTTAAGACATGTGGTCTAGAATGGCAAAGAGTGGGATTGGGTGCTTGCAAAACTGGTTTACCCCACCTTACTTTTTGAGCCTGTATCAAGTCAGGCTATTTAATTGGATCATGTGTGGTTGGTTCATTGTTTTGAGTCTTTATTTGTACGCACACCCTATTGTTCGGATGGGGCGGATTTCTTTATGTGTACGCACACCCTATTGATCGGATGGGGCGAATGTGTTTATATGTACGCACGCCCTATTGTTCGGATGGGTCGGATGTCTTTATGTGTATGCACAGCCTATTGTTCGGATGTCTTTATGTGTACGCACGCCCTATTGTTCGGATAGGTCGGATATCTTTATGTGTACGCACACCCTATTGTTTGGATGGGTCGGATGTTTTTATGTGTACGCACGCCCTATTGTTCGGATGAATAGGATGTCTTTATGTGTACGCACACCCTATTGTTCGGATGGGTCGGATGTCTTTATGTGTACGCACGCCCTATTGTTCGGATGGGTCGGGTGTCTTAATGTGTACACACACCCTATTGTTCGGATGGGTCGGATGTCTTTATGTGTACGCACGCCCTATTGTTCGGATGGGTCGGATGTCTTTATGTATACGCACACCCTATTGTTCGGATGGGTCAGCTGACTTTATGTGTACGCACGCCCTATTGTTCGGATGGGTCGGATGTCTTTATGTGTACGCACACCCTATTGTTCGGATGGGTTGGATGTCTTTATGTGTACGCACGCCCTATTGTTCGGATGGGTCGGATATCTTTATGTGTATGCACACCCTTTTGTTCGGATGGGACGGATGTCTTTATGTGTACGCACGCCCTATTGTTAGGATTGGTCGGATGTCTTTATGTGTACGCACACCCTATTGTTCGGATGGGTCGGATGTCTTTATGTGTACGCACGCCTTATTATTCGGATGAGTTTGATGTTGATGGTTGGTGTGGGCTATTGGTACTGTCCAAGATTTTTGATGATTTTTGTTATCCTTTTTGTGTGTTAAGTATTATTAAAAATACTTGAGATAACATTTTCAAGTATTTATATATTCTTGGAATTCAATAGATTTATATTTAGTGTTCCTGGTAAAGTAAAATCCAATAAAGCGTTTCGAATAGCACCAAATTCATACAATGTTAACTTCATTTAACAACCTTAACAAAATTCTTTTCAAATCAAACAAATAGATTGTGATTGGAAGTTTGGCTGTAACTGTAGAAATCTTATTGCAAACAGTTAATCACATTCTAAAATTACGGGGATGTTGTTTATTAAACTAGTAAATTATGATTAGATCTGAAAGTTTTCTCTATTCTTTGTTTTTCTCTCTTTATTTTGTACTTTTTGCATACAGACCTCATACAGACATTGTATTCGCATCTGTGTCTTTTTTCTAGGTCATCATGCGGTAAAATTTCTTTATATTAAAACTGTTCCTTAAAATACGAAATGAACAAAATCCTTAATCAAACAAAATATTTTAGTCAAATCAGATATTTTTTTCTTTGGGTAAGGCTGTTATTCAGCGTTTACTTGCCAAGACCGAAACAGCTTTTGTCATCAGCAGAGAATGATATGCTTAATATGAAGTCTCCGTATATGATCTACATGGTGAAGTGCATCTGCAGTGCTTATTCGGCTATCAGTACGGCATATACCGTACGTATTCCCGAATGCTGTTAAAACAATTGTTTTGACTATCGTATACAACAGACTTTTGTCTGCGTTTCAGATTGTCCTTATGCAATATAATGGGTTTTGCAATCGGGTACAACAGATGTTGATCTCACGTGTGTTGCCTATTGCATCTGCCGTGCCGTACGATAGCAGGTTATAGGGTGAATTTTACAACAGCTATCATTTAACAATGAAGCATTTTTAAAACTGCAAGACATTATGAAACAAAGAAGTCAATAACAGATGAATCTCTATTCAGTTATAATTCATTAATTGGTCTCTTTTCACGAGCTGCGGTCGAAACAAAGGATCAGAATATGGCATATTTTTACAATATCGGTATTGATAATGCTTCCATCCAAGAGAGGGAAAAAAACATTTTTTGGGTAAAATTAAGTATATTCAAATGTCTTACCGATAAACATTTGATGTTGAGGCATTTGGACCATGGTCAATTGCATGACAGAGAATACACGGACATCGTACAAACGTTAAGCATAATTACGGCGTTCATATTTAGTTGATCGGTTACAAATTGAATTTGTATAATAATTAGCTCAGTTTCAGGGGACTTTTTGTATGTGCAAACCTTTCACTCTTCCAGAGAAACCAATTTTATGATTGACACATAATGATTTACAAATAGATATTGCCATGTCTAAAACAAACTTCAAAATGACTTCATGTTTAATTCTGGTAGTTCAGCTTTTTGGTCTGAGACTATTGGAATATGAGAGTGTATGATGTTTTTGGTCTGAGACTATTGGAATATGAGAGTGTACGATGAACATTGCTTGGAGGATGCGAAACTCATTGTTTTCCAACGGAAGAAGTTAAAACATGATTTATTCCAAACGTGAGTTACTGCACATGGCATTGGAACTGCAAACCGGCAATTAGTACCAGTATAATTAAACGAATTGTAAATCTTTGCTTCATAATATTTATCTCATGAAAAAAAATATAGTATACAATATTAGGTCAATGTCAGAAAGAAAATAAACTTTTTTGTATGAGGCTTACTAACTAAGAAAGGGCGAGGTTTGCAGATACTTAAATCTATGGTAAGTTATTTGTATCGCTTGGAAAATATTGATTCCAGATTTTCTCTTCTCAAAGATGATTATGTAACATTACAAAAAAAAACATCTCGTTATGCTTACACGAAGTCAGTGTTTTAAATAATCACAGACATCAATCAAAGAGTATTTTCGTTGCAAAAATTTGATAGCTTCAAAAATAATATGAAAAACGTTTTAAAACTTTATTGTATAGATTTATGGCACACTGAAAGGATAAAGCTTTCAAATGGTAAACTTAGTTAGAACTTATGTTACATTTAAACAAGGAACTATTTTTTTTTAATCCTGATTGAGCTTTTTTATATTTATTTTAGTTTTAAATTTGATATATAATAGTTTGCTGTATTTAATTTAACTAATAGCTGTATTATTTTGCTTATGCTTGAACTGTGCTTTAGTTGCTTACATTCGTATGCTTGAGTTTCTACTAGTGCTTTTTTATGCATGTGTGATATGTGTTGATGGCTGCCAGCTTGAGTCTAGTGTTGATATCTTATGTTTTATTACTTGTATGTGTTTTATGTGAATATGCTTATCTGCTCTTTACATTGCATGTGCTTAAATTGTCTGTATGAATTTGATATTTTATATTATTAATGCATGTGTGTGTTTTATACATAATCTGCTTTGCGTTATATTTTGCATGTGCTCTGTATTTATTCGTATGTGCTGCTTGAATTGATTGTTTGTGCTGTAAATAATTGTGTTGCTATTTAAAGATTGATTCGGTTATGTTAATAGACCCTGATAATATATATCAATAGGTTAAAGCAGGGGCGTTTCTAGGATATTTGAAAGAGGGGCGTAGAATAAAATCTTTCGCCGAGCGGAATTTTTTTTACCTTTTTTTTGCTAAAAAACATAAAATAATTGTGAAATGCACTAATGTAACGGTTCCTGACTTGAAGCATGTATATTTTATAGTTTTTTTTTAGGGGGCGTACGCCCATTACGCCCTCACCTGGACCCGCCCCTGGGTTAAAGAGCCCCAAAGAGCTCATGTTCTATGTTTGATTGTATATATGAAAACCCGACTTTAAATAAAGAATCCTTTACTTTACCTTTACATTAGGATTTGTATAGTAAATCCTGGATTTAAATGAAAATTTGAAAAATAGAAATATCTTACCATTATGGGGAATTTGTAACAGAGAAGAAGCTTAATAAAGCTCAGAATTTTATCCATCACACCACTTAAGAATTGAGTCCGGAAGGTGTCGGGATATAATCTCCTTCTTGACAGAACTTGTACTCGTTGTCACTTGGCCGATTTCATTTCAAGTCGCCGTAATTTTGTAAATCCTTACTCAAGGGATAAACTGATACAGCTGATAAGTCAATTATTGGTAAATTTATTACTAAAATTATTTAAGGTGTGGCTTTTCTGTCTGCTTCAGACACCCGGAGGACTGTGTGATATACTATATTTAGTATCTCAGTCCGTGACTGAGTTCCTTGAGAACCGTCCTGCTCCTTTGGTGTCTATTGTAGTAGGGAAACCTACACTTTTCTCAAAACCTATTAATGCAGTTTATGTTATTTGCTGTGAATAAACGTCGAACTTTTGTAACCTTTAGTTCATATACTGTTTCTCTGCACCAGGAAGACCGTACGAGGTTTGCCAGAGCTTATTTCGTCCTTTGATTAGTATCTTTTGCAGTTAAACAATCAAATATTTATAAATTTCCTGCCAATATAGAAAATAATAAAATAAAATAAAAATAATTACAGATCAAAACAAGTGAGAGCTTGGACTGTTATACTAAGTATAGTAAGACCAAGTTAGTATAACTATAGTCCGAGCTAGGTCTTAGGAAATTTGCCACATCTCGCATCTAGTTTATAAATCAATTCTGGAAGAGTACTAATATACAGTCATGCAATAAATTAAGAACTTACAGAAAATTAAAAAAATTTGTTTATGCCGTTTGAACCATATTTAGGAATAAATCCAAAACAAGACCGGCAATTATTTACAAGAACTAGCTGTCATGACTTGAATTTGAAAGAGGGGGGAGTATATTGGTATAAACTTAGCTGAAGACAGAAAGTGTAAGCTATGTAAGAACGGAATTGAAGATTAACTACATTTTCTTTTAAAATGTCCTATTCTGAAAGATACAAGACCTCAGTCAACATCTGTCTAATTTAAATTCTAAATTCATAAACTTTTCAAAGTTATCTGATGAGATGAAATTTGTTTGGATTATTCCATCTGAAGATTGTTACTTCAAACTTATCTAAATTATTGCACTCCCTTTTGAAGAACGAAAGAAACTCGGACTAGAAAATATCAATGTAGTTTGAAATATAAAAAATCTATCAGGTGTTGTCTCCAATAGGCCTATGTATGTTTATTGGAAACTTATTTTCTCCAGGTCACAGTGGCTTCCAAAAGTCTCAAAAGACTAATGTTTTGTCAATGACATTGTTTATATATTACTTTGTTTAAATATGTAGACATGCTTTTATTTAACCGAACTTTAATTACACTAATCATTAATTATAATCATTTACTGACCCTTTACTGTGCTTTATTTTGTAATAATTCATTTGATTGTATAACTCAAATTTTGGGTACCATGATTTTACAATATCTATCTATCTTATTCCTGGGAACAGTATATCTAACAATATATACTTATTCTATCTATCTCACCGCGGAGAAGCAAAATTTATATACTTTTTTTTTATATGTAGGTGTATTATATATATAAATGTCATGTAACAATATAGTAAAAAATAAAATATCTTTAATCTTTATATTTCCGGAAAAGAGATTATATTCGTTCCGTGTATGGCGGTACATTATCATCTTAATAGAGTATCCGGGTGTATTTTTGTTAATAATTATTGCACATGTTTTCAACAGATTACTCGAATATTACATCACTATTTCAATCTTTCTCATTGTTATAAGAGGGTTGATGGATGTATACATCAGACATAGTTAGGTTTTGTTTCACTCTTAACGAATACAGTTATAAAAGCTGACAAGGACTCGAGGTAACAAGGTAACGAAACGAAAAAACTATATACTAATATGAGGCAGGCATTACCTGTGAAAGGGGACGAAGTCTATATAAATTATTTTTTTTTTTAATTCAAACATATTTTAAGTTCTAAATCTGTTAAAAAAGAAACGGAAATACCGTAACGTTTCCGATTTTGGTTCTGTTGTTAGGGATTTTAGTTGTGACGTTATTTTAGTTATGACGTCATATTCAATGTAAACAAAGAAACGCTATCATCAGGTAACGTTTTTGCATATCAAAGAATAATTAGAAATGAAATTGTTATTGTGTTCCTTCTTATATTTTACTGGACTGATAAATATATATTTCACTCAGTCTCATGACAAACGAGACCGGAAGAAGGAAGTAGATTTCTGGGCAAATGCGGGAATTAAAAAAAGTTACAAAAAAAAAGTTAACGATTTTGAGTTCATTAGTACAATGAAAATTTCGGGAAATTTTCCCGATTTTTTTTTTTTTTTTTTTTTTTTTTTATTGATTTTTCTACTGTAATAGGGGACTTCGTCCCCTTATAATTTTAAGTTTTGTTTTATCTACACTCATAATATTCCAAAAGAAATAATTCTAACCAGGATATTCCCAAGATGAAATTAGTCTGTAGAATCTAAAGTCCTAGTCATTTAACTTTGTCAGATTAGGGGGGGGGGGGGATGTTTTTTGTTCATTTTTTTGTATCACACTTGTAAGCATGAAAGTAATTATATTATTGTACGTTGTGAATTTTAAAAAAGAATTTTACTGATCAAAAAAGTATTATCTTCAAAGTTGGGAATTAATTAAGTTAGAAAAGTTACCATAACATTAACAGTCAAGGGTATGTATGGTCAGATCATATGTTTTCGTACGTCATATGAATTTTTACTATGCATGCTTTTTCAACAGAAATTGTGACGTCACAATGCATTCTTAAAAGCATGAAAACCCATGAGACAACTCAAGGATATAACTCTATAGGGTTATTACTATTTGAGAAAATATCATACATTTTGTCATACATGTATTATGTTTTAAGCAGTCTCACTAATTAGCGACAAGAAGAATTTTAGCGACAAGAAGCGACAAGAAGACTATTTAGCGACAAGAAAACTTTAAAAAAAATATTAATATAATAAATATATTAAAGAAATATTGACATTTTTATTTTAATATACGGGCAGTAATAAAGTGATTTTCATTTTTTTTTATTATATTCAATTTGATAGATATAGAAATTTCCCTGTCATATTATGATATTAATTTTTACATGTACATGTGTTTTAGAACAATTATATATTTATTTTATAAATTTTTTAACACTCTCTTCACAAGTCTAAAATATAATAAACTGACTGCATGCAAAATGCATTATTCGTGAATCAATGTCCAGAAAAGAAAATGTTATTAAAACGTGATTTTTTTGTTTTGTGTATTGACTCATTAAACGATATTTATCATGTGTATGCATAGTTTAAAGTTGATTGAAGATTAAAGGTAATTAAAGACAATGTTGAGTTTCAACAGGTGTTCACTATTTACAATGATTGTATATTCTGGCGCGTGTAATTGTATAGTCTGACGCGTGTACAAAGTTATAGGTGTTAATTGGATGTTATTGTAGCAATACAACAAGGGACACACGTCCTTTGATTCTGATTTGTTCATCCTTAAGCGTCATTATGCTTCTATGAAAAGAAGTAATTCTTACAAGAAAAGAATCAGTTGGTTCTAAAAAATTCCTGGCCAATCTCTTGAAACCATGAATAAAGCAATAACAGAATACATAGGAACCTATACTATTAAAATAGTTAACAAGCATGGTAATGCTAAAATAACTAAATCGCAAGTTAGACCAGAGATAGAAGCTGATAAATCAGTCCATATTTTTTGTTGTTGATAACCTTGACTCTGAACATCAGTCACGTGACTCAAAATATGTTTAGCATGTAAAGTATCATATAAATAATAAAAAAAATCCTTAAAACAAACAAAATATTGCTGATGATATATGCAAACTGTCATCAAAATTAATTCTGCCAGACTACCTTTTTTTAAAGAAATAAATTGTTCAGACCACAGGCAAACCATTAAGTGTTATCATGACTCATTTATTCATACCTCTGACTTTGCTGAAAACAGAACATACATGATCTTAAACATATTTTATCTAATAAAAACTATGCAATCCCTTTCTTCTTCACAAATTTCTTCATCTATCAATATAATAAAAAAAAATGAAAATCACTTTATTACTGCCCGTATATTAATATAAAAATTTCAATGCATATTTTTTTAATATATTTATTTTAATAATATTTTTTTTTATGTTTTCTTGTCGCTAAATAGTCTTCTTGTCGCTTCTTGTCGCTAAATTTATTCTTCTTGTCGCTTCTTGATGCTTCTTGTCGCTTCTTGACACTTCTTCAAGTTCTTGTCGCTAATTAGTGAGACCCGTTTAAAGGAACCATGAAGCAAGTAATTTAACAAGCCTGTTTCTTAACTAATTAAAATTATCAATATCATGAATATCAATCCTTTTACAATAAATTTTGTTAACAAAATTGCACAATCTATTTTCATGATTATTATTCAGGAAAACTAAAAATATCATTATATGGTATAGGAATAAACTATTTTTGTTTATCTTTTATATTTCTCCAAATCTCAAAACTGGAGTTGTGCATGAAGAATCACTAGAGACTTAAATTTTCCAAATGGCTACCTAGTTATCATCAAATTTTGATATATGCTAACCATAATGAAAAATGTTCCTAAATCTATATTGGTCTGAATAAAAGTAAATCTTATGAAAAGAAATTATTTAAAGAAAAAATTGTCTTGCCTTTTGAAATAATTGTAAACTTATCAAATATGTTATCTTCAGTTTGGCTAATTTTGTCAGTTAACTGGCAAAATTTGTCTCCAGAAAAAATAAAGTACACTTCTATATAGATTGTAACATTTTTATGGTCTATTAATTAAATCACTTTTTGTTTTGTGTTTTATATTGTCGAAACTGCAGGACTGGCATATGCATGATACATATTCTTGGTATACATTTGCAAAGAATATTTCACTCAACTCAGGCCTTTAAGATAAAGTTAATAATTGCAGAGACTTGAATGAATTAGATTCTTTAAAGCCCTTGATTAAAAATGAATATTAAGAAAAAAAAAAATAGGAATATTTTTGAAGATAAAATAAAAACTTATGATGAAAACAGTAATCTCAAATGCTTCACTCAGTAAAGAATTAGTGGTCATAATTTAGAAATAGAAAATGGTGGATAAAAATTCCTATAAAGGATAGAATTGTTTGTAAAATTAACATGATTAACATAACAACTTAGAGATAATCTATTTGAAAATTGTTTAATTTCTCATAATTATGTCTCTGACCAGTTTATGAATAAAATCTTGAATCTTGTGAATAAAATCTTAACCAAGAACAAAAGTTAAAGAAATGCTAAACCTCTATAACATGGAACATGTTTGAAATATTGGCTCCTTTATAAAAAAAAGAAGTGATTAGAACTGAGGGTAAAACCTAATAAATTTTTTCCATGTGTTTTTATTTCTTATAAAATTGTTATTTCTTTGCATTTTAATGATTGTTTTTGTTTTTTTTGTCAGAAACTTGATTAAATTGTAATATGTTTATATGACAACAAAAATATCCGTTTATCCAAAAATATTATCAAATTTTTCTGTAATGATTATTTGGAATATACATGTATTTATTCAATAGAGAAATAATGAATTGCCTAAATTTTATTTAGAATAAGTCCTAAAGATCATCTTAAACATTTGTTTAACCATGTTAAATGCAGTAAGTATAAACAATATTGATTTTAGAAAATCAATTTGAGAAACACCTTTTCAATGGAAAAAGGCAGGCGTTGTGAAAGTTTGCATTATATAAGAAGATGATATTCATTTATTATTCACTTGCCAAAAAATACGTGTAAAAAATAACTTAAATTGATAGAATTATTTAAAAGGTATAACATCAAAACAAACAGTCATGAGAAAATTTTTACAAAAAAAAAGTTAGGAAGCTATATGTTCAACTAGTTTTATTATTTCATTTTATTTTATAATTTTCTTGTCATAATCACAGTTATTAAATATGACAACACATATATTTTACCTGAGACACTTTACCTGTGAGTTATATAATTTTAACACTTCAATGCAGTCATGATTTCCCTTTATCCATGACTAGTTTTTGATTAATACCTTGTGTATTAATTAAGCAACAGGAGGTATAATGATGGACATTTAGGGCCATCATGGTGACCATATTTTTATGGCCACCATTAATAAGATAATGTCACAGGTAGTACTGTACTTTCATAAGTTGTCTACTCTTTATTTCTAAAATTTTCTTAATCTGTAGTAACATATGTTTGTTATTTGTGAAAGTAAATCATAAATATTTTAAATTTTAGTGGGCACTTGGAAATTCTTTAAACTTTGTGCAGTAACTTAATACATAGCCTTGATAACTAATTTTCCAATTAAATTAATACATTTTTTAACAACCATGGTAAATCAATGAGACGAGGCTTTTAAAGGATAAACTCAGCTGTAATAACAAGGCTTAGTTATTACAGGCATGTAACTGATTTTTTTATATGAAACACTTGGGAATTACTTGACAGCTTTCACGAACCTCATTACATGCTCTGATCATTATTTCTTACAATAAATTAAAATACATCATGTACATTGTGATTATGCATGATATATATCTGAGAAAAGGCTTTGAAGTGATGTAGAGAAGCTGTAATAACACCCTTAAGTTTTGTACAGGCATATATACATGTATTCATGTACTATGCATGATTGTCAAACTATGAACTGTTATATCTTTCTATACTGGTAGTTTAGTTTACAATAATTTCAATAGAACTTGTATACATTTTAATAAAACAAAGAATGTATATTACCCCTTTGAAACATGTTACATACATACATTTCTCTAATTCTTCGTCAATTTATCCCTTTCTGCACCAATTGTATAAACAAAATTTAATCAACGTGTGGTTCGTTTGATCTCAGTTCTTCATTGGTTAAAATCCGATTATGACGTCGAATTTTCTTGCTTTCCTCTGAATTTCCTATTGTGACGGCATGAAAAAAGGCGACCATGCCTGATGACGTCACATAGGAAGAGCACATCTTTTTGCAGATCATTCGAAAAGAATGAATAAATTTGCCTGTGTATTGTTTGAAAATCATTAGAGAAACAGATTCCACCACCAAATCTCGTGTAATATGATATTTATCCACTCTCGACAGTTAAATTTTAAATATTTAAAACGCTCGGCGAGCCTCGCGTTTTAAATTTGAAAATTTAACTGTCTCGAGTAGATAAATATCGTATCACACTCGATGCAGTGGTAGAATCTATATGTATCCACAATAACAAATGTATGTTATTTTTCTGTAATAACCCTGTAGAGTTATACCCTTGTCTGATTAACATGATTAAGGATTACAAAATATACCTTCAAATATGGATTTTGGTAAATAAAATTTGTAAAATTTGAAATTTTTCTCTGAATTTGAATAAGATAATTCTTATTTTCAATGAAAAATTATTAAATCCTCATATTCTCAAACTGTTAAGTAAATCTTTTGATACATGTAGATAAAAAAAAAAACATTTGCATTTTTTCATTCAGACAAAACATTTGTCCTGTCAAGTTTATTACCATGATTACCCTTAAAATTAGTTTTTTGTAAGTGTATTCATTAAAAATTGTAACATTTGAACATTTCAATATGTCACAAATAAAAATATATTGAAACTTTTTATTTATTTTGGGATAAATTGTCATATTGAGACATGATTAACATGCCTGAAACAATTTTAAAATCACTCAAATTGTGTTGAAACTGTTTACTTGGGTATATTCTGGTACAAAAGGTACAATTTTATATTATATACATGTATGGCAAAATGACACTTAAGGTTTGTCTTCAGGTGACAATTTTAGATTGCCTTGCACAGCTAACTAAACATATGGGCACAGAAGATTTCTTTATTTAGTTCTTGAGATAAGAGGTTGAACTCTTTTAAAAATATGTAAGCTAACCAGAAAAAAAATGTATGAGTTATGTTTCACTCCCAAAACATGCCAAATCTTGAGAATTTCAGGTGTTGTAAAAAAAGTTACTTTTATATTAAATTTATTAAGTACATTTTTTTTAGAAGAATAAGGGAAGATTATTTTTATACGACCGCAAAAAATTTTTGCGGTCGTATATTGGTATGACGTCGGCGTTGTCGTCGTCGTCGTCCGAAGACACATTGGTTTTCGCACTCTAACTTTAGTTTAAGTGAATGGATCTCTTTGAAGTTTTACCATAAGGTTCAATACCACAAAAGGAAGGTGGGGATTGATTTTGGGGGATATGGTACCAACAGTTAAGGAATTAGGGGCCAAAAAGGGGCCAAAAATAAGCATTTTCTAGTTTCCAGACAATAACTGGAACGGTGTATGGATCTCTCTGAAATTATACTACAAGTTACCATACCACAAAGGGATGGTTAGGATTTGCTTTGGGGGGTTATGGCTCAAACCGTTTAGGAATTAGGGGCAAAAAAGGGGGAAAAACAAGGTTGTCCTGGTTAATGGACAAATACTTTAGTACAAAACATATATAAAGCAGTGTAAGGGAGATAAATCAAATACATCATTGAAATTATCTCCCTTACTCTGCTTTTAAATTATGTATAAGGAAGTACACCACTAATTCATGGCCCCATTGCTTTCTATGTTAAATTCCTCAATTTCAAGCAGACACAGCTCTTTTGTTTCAAGTTCAAATAAAGTGACAATCATTGCATGTCAAAGCAACACTTTATGGTGTCTTGTACTGGAAAAATCAACATACCTTTAATGGCATACAAGAAAGAACTGGTTCCCGGAACTTCGGATGTACCAAAACAGGTACTTCAGATCTGACATACAGGCAAAAAGTACCCTCTTTATAAAATTTGGTGCAGTTTTTTAATATTCAAACTTATAAGTCAAAAAGTGTTCTACAATGATCACCAGTCATTCAGCTTTCATTTCATACCAACAATACCTAAATATTCTACATATTTTGAAAGTTACACTCATGCGTAGGAACTATTTTGTGTTAAATATGTACTACTTTCTGGTATGTGCTTTCTGGCCGGGCCGAATTAGTGGTGTTACACCATAAAGTAATGGTTAATGAACAATTAAGATAATTTAAAACAGTGTAAGGGAGGTAATCCAAATACAACGTTTTGGTTACTTCCCTTACACTGCTTTTAAATTATGTTTAAAGAAATGCATATTTATAAAGGAAGACCAGTAAAAATATCTGCAAATGTTGCATCTTTTTTTTTTACAAAAAAATCCATATGAAAGATTTGACACTATATTTTAAATTCTATTATAAAATAGATTAAGTTAGCACTATGGTAAATTTAAATGGGTAATTATGGTTGCAAACTCCATTGGAAATTTGATTGAGATTATGACCATATCTTGAGGGAAAGAATTTTTTGGGGGAAAAAAAGGGGGGGGGGTAAAAAGAAATTGTGGGGGGTCAATTTTTTCTCATTTCAGATTTCAGAAATTAAAAAGAATTATTCTTCAAATATTATTTTTTTTTCAAATTTCAAATATTGAAAAATTTCAAGAAGTAATCTTTAATTGCACAGTTTGGCACATTAGATTTGTAAAATCTTTGACCACATTTATTTATTTGTTATGCCGAATCTAACCGTGTATTAAGATTTTTATTTTTGGGTCCAGTTTTCAAATTGGTCTACATTAAGGTCCAAAGGGTCCAAAATTAAACTTTGTTTGATTTTAACAAAAATTGAATATATGGGGTTCTTTGATATGCTGAATCTAAACATGTATTTAGATTTTTGATTTTTGGCCCAGTTTTCAAGTTGGTCCAAATTGGGGTCCAAAATTAAACTTTGTTTGATTTCAACAAAAATTGAATATATGGGGTTCTTTGATATGCTGAATCTAACCATGTATTTAGATTTTTTAATTTTTGACCCCGCTATCAAATTGGTTCATATTGAGGTCAAAAGGGTCCAAAATTAAACTTTGTTTGATTTCATCAAAAATTGAATTATTGGGGTTCTTTGATATGCCAAAACTTACTGTGTATTTAGATTTTTAATTTTGGGTCCTGTTTTTTAAATTTGTCTACATTAAGGTCCAAAGGGTCCAAAATTAAACTTAGTTTGATTTTAACAAAAATTGAATTCTTGGAGTTCTTTGATATGCTGAATCTAAACATGTGTTTAGATTTTTGATTATGGGCCCAGTTTTCAAGTTGGTCCAAGTTGGGGTCCAAAATTTAACTTTGTTTGATTTCAACAAAAATTGAATATATGGGGTTCTTTGATATGCTGAATCTAAACATGTATTTAGATTTTTTATTTGTGGGCCAGTTTTCAAGTTGGTCCAAATTGGGGTCCAAAATTAAACTTTGTTTGATTTCAACAAAAAATGAATATATGGGGTTCTTTGATATGCTGAATCTTACCATGCATTTAGATTTTTTATTTGTGGGCACGCTATCAAATTGGTTCATATTGAGGTCAAAAGGGTCCAAAATTAAACTTTGTTTGATTTCATCAAAAATTGAATTATTGGGGTTATTTGATATGCCAAATCTAACCGTGTATTTCGATTTTTAATTTTGGGTCCCGTTTTTTAAATTGGTCTACATTAAGGACCAAAGGGTCCAAAATCAAACTTAGTTTGATTTTAACAAAAAATGAATTCTTGGGGTTCTTTGATATGCTGAATCTAAACATGTGTTCAGATTTTTGATTTTGGGCCCAGTTTTCAAGTTGGTCCAAGTTGGGGTCAAAATTAAACTTTTTTTGATTTCAACAAAAATTGAATATATGGGGTTCTTTGATATGCTGAATCTAACCATGTATTTAGATTTTTTATTTGTGGGCCCAGCTATCAAATTGGTTCATATTGAGGTCAAAAGGGTCCAAAATTAAACTTTGTTTGATTTCATCAAAAATTGAATTATTGGGGTTCTTTGATATATCAAATCTAACCGTGTATTTAGATTTTTAATTTTGGGTCCCGTTTTTTAAATTGGTCTACATTAAGGTCTGAAGGGTCCAAAATTAAACTTAGTTTGATTTTAACAAAAATTGAATTCTTGGGGTTCTTTGATATGCTGAATCTAAACATGTGTTTAGATTTTTGATTATGGGCCCAGTTTTCAAGTTTGTCCAAGTTGGGGTCCAAAATTAAACTTTGTTTGATTTCAACAAAAATTGAATATATGGGGTTCTTTGATATGCTGAGTCTAAATATGTATTTTGATTTTGAACATTGGACCATAATAGGTAAATTAAAAAAATTCAAGTTCTTAGACCACATTCTTTCTGTGTCAGAAACCTATGCTGTGTCAAATATTTACCGTAATCACAATCCAAATTCAGAGCTGTATCAAGCTTGAATGTTGTGTCCATACTTGCCCCAACTGTTCAGGGTTCGACCTCTGCGGTCGTATCAAGCTGCGCCCAGCGAAGCATTTTATTTAAATCTTGTTAAGACAACTGAAATCAGACAAATCAAATTGTACAATTGAATATAACTTTAAATACATTTACATCCTGAAGTATATAATAATAAGTTTTAAACATGTAAGTATTACCAATGATTGACAAAGAGTATTAGTCCCCTCCCTACAAGGTCGAAGGGGACTTTAGGTTTGCACTCCGTCTGTCTGACTGTCCATCCGTCAAACCGGCAAATCAGTTTTCCACACTTTTTTCTTCGTGCTTGAAGATATTGATTTGATATTTAGTGTATTGTTTCATCATGACAAGTTACAAATCAAGTTCGAATTTTGTTCCGGTCTGATGATTTTGTGCAGAGTTATGGTCCTTGGACTTAGAAAATCCACTCGAATAATCAGGTTTTTTGCACTTTTTTTCGTCATGCTTGAAGATATTGATTGGATAATTGGTATATAGTTTTATCATGACAAGTTACAGATCAAGTTCGAATTTTGTACCGGTCTGGTGATTTTGTGCAGAGTTTTGGTCCTTGGACTTAGAAAATTCACTTAAATAATCAGTTTTCAACACTTTTTTTGGTCATGCTTGAAGATATTGCCTTGATATTTTTTATATAGTTTGCACCATGACAAGTTATAGATCAAGTTAGCATTTTGTTCCAGTACAATAACTTTTTAACTGGTAGGGGACTATGTATTGCCATGCAATACCCTCAGAATGCTTGTATACTTATTTCTTGGAAGCTGAAAATATCTAGTCATAGATAATCATGCTGATAAATGTAATATAATGTGGCTTAATTATCTTTTGAGAAATCTTATATTGTGATTTATACAGAAATTTATCTTTCAACATTTTAAATCTGCATGCTTTAGCATGTTTAGGTTGTAATATTGTAATCATGTAAAAAGTAAATTGTATTTTTTTTTAAGAAAAAGTTAGAAAGAACCTTATTCCACATTGTTTAATTTTCAACAATAATTGTTGAAGGCTGATTAATATCCATGTTATTATCAATATGTTAATTTTTTTTTCTAAACAGATGGCTAATTCAGATGAAAAGCTGAAGGTGGAAACTTCTAAATCACTTTTCCGTGATATAACTGCAGATGATGAAACACCAGAAGTCATGGAGATTGAAAGTCTTTGCTTCAAGTGTGAAAATAATGTATGTTTCCTAAGGTCCATATACTGTAAACCAACTAATTTTCGCTAGCAATTTATTTCCACTACTTTCACGAGTAGATAAATTACTCGATTATAATCATGTGATGATGTTTATTTTGGATCTTTCCCTATTTAACTACATCAAATAAATTTGAAAATTCTAAAATTAAATCACTGTGGCCATGGTGGCACGGGCTTGAAAGGGCTAAACGCGAAATAAAGTATCTGAGAAAATAAGTTGGTTTTCAGTATTAAAATACATGTATGTGTTAAACATGTTTTAAATTGTGGTTTCCCAACCAAACTGTTTTCTGTTCTTTGGTCATGTTGTTGTCTCTTTGACACATTCCGCGTTTCAATTCTCCTTTCTGATATAGTTTTGGGGAAACGATGGCTGAAAAAAAATAGGATCTTTTATGACATGTATATCAAGGCTCTCACTGGAACTATTTTGTGCTTTACATTAACTTGTATCATGTGTATTGAAGAAATCATAGTGATTCTTTCAGTTTATGTGATTTGTAGAATGAAAACAAATGTACAGATTTGCTGTCAAAACAACCCTTTTCTTTCTTTTTTATTTGAGTTAACAGTCAGAGCTCGGACATATATAAGTCTAAATCTTTTGACTCATAAGAGTTCTAAACTTGAAGGATTCAAGATTTGTCTCCCTTTAATTTAAGACAAATTATGACTTCAATTAGTCAATTAGTGTTAAGCAAGAAATATTTGACCTGAATTAAAAAGTTGCAAATATTGACTCCTACAAGTCAATGAGTTACCAAAATTGGTCAACTTCAGGACCCAAGCACATTTATAAAAAGGTCAAGCATCTACATGAAATTATGACAACATTGAAAGACAATGCTTTGTCTTCTAAAGAAAAATATGCATGAGAGCCTAAAAAAACGGAGATAATGTTTATTTACTTTACAAAGCAACCATCTATAATCACACAAAATGAGGAAAATAGTTCAGTAAAAATGTTCAATTAGATAATTAAATATAGATAGCTCAGATCCATGTGAACTCACAGACAGGTTAATGATGTCATAGGTGGTGCACTTTGGCCACCAATTAGAATTAAGTCTTTTCATAAACATAAACAGACATAAACAAGTCTGTCATTTTCTGACTTAAATATATGTCTGAAAATTAAAACACATTTTTATAATAAATATATTTTTTGACTTCTGTAAGTCAAAAACAAAAAACAACTTGTTTATGTCTGAGCTCTGACTGGTTAATACTTCATATTTCTGACGTATCACATAGAAAACATTCTTCACATAACATTAACTGTTAAATTTAATAATTAAATTCCAGATTCTAATTTAAACTGTTATATATTTTCAGGGTTTAACACGATTATTTTTAACCAGAATTCCTTTCTTCAAAGATGTCATCGTCAGTTCATTTACCTGTGATAATTGTGGTTATCACAACTCTGAGCTGCAACCTGGTGGAAGAATCCAGGACAAGGGAGTCAAGTATACAGTCAACATTCAGAACCGAAAGGTATAAGGCCAAATAAAAAAAAAATGTGTGTTTATGATTTGCCTTAAATTTTTTTTATATATGTGTGTTTACTGTAGCCTTCTGAAAAAAAATAGGGTTGGTTGGTTTGCAAATCTTTAAAAAGAAATTATATAATTATATTTTATTAGATCGGCAAACCTGGATGGCTTTATCTGGTTCTCGAATCAGATCCCTCATTGCATTTACCTATATTTCCGGTTTGACGGCCATTGCAGAATTTGTTTTTGTCAGTCAAATATGTTTAAACTCAATTTTACACAATACTTGTTGACGATTTTCGGCATTAAGAAAGCGGTTAAAAAAAAACATTGCTGTCAAGAATATTACTAGTGAAAATATAATATGCCAAATTTTTCTGCACCAAACGCATATTTTGACAATACAATTTTCTTCAGTGATGATAAGGACACAAATATTTGAAAATCCAAACCTTATACAAACATTGAAAATGTTAAAGAGCTTATAAAAACATGTTACAGAATTGATCAAAATCAATGGTTTTGTCATCATAACTTGTACAAAAATCAAATGGCAAAATTCTGTAAAAATGATATATGTGAAATACTTGAACCATAATTTATTCCTGCAACCACTGAGTAGATGTTTGAATTTTGGTTCACAACTTATATATATATTACATAAATTGTCGCTGTTTCTAACACTATCAGTATTGTTTAATCCTGTTTTTTTAAATGAAAGACATAAAAGGAAAATGGTAATCAACAACAAACTTAAAAATCAAAAATCAATGATAGTTCACTATCTGTATTGTTTATAGAACATGTAATTTCAGTATCATACTTACAAGTTTATACTTTACTTATGCACTGTCTTAACTTTTAGGATTTAAACAGACAAGTTGTACAGACCAATACAGCAACAATAGCCATTCCTAAATTAGAGTTTGAAAATCCGCCAAACAAAGGAGGTATATATATAAAGTTTAATCTAATTAAGTCCTAAATTATTACTGTTTTTGGATGCAAAGCTTTGAAAACTTTTTTTGTTGGGGAATAGGGGTTGTTAATTGAAGTGCTGAAACTGAATTAAAAGGAAATTCTTATTTTTATATTGATTTGTTATTTGTCAGCAACAGTAACAACAAACCTAGGGCTAACATTATTTATATGCATATAAAATTAATATCTTTCACCTCTCTTTCACCTTAAAAAGAAACATTTGTATTGAGGTCATTCCTGATGGCCAGATAAAGGTCTGAAATGCAATATTTTAGTTGTGGGAGGGGTTTAATTTTAATTTTTTTCAAAGGAATCAGTAAACAGAAGTAAAACTGTCAACAACCTAAAATTGACATACATGTTTAACCCTGCCACCTTCTTTATGTGCTCATCCTCGGGAGCCTGCAATTCAGTGGTGGTTGTTGGTCCAAGTCTGTCTTATTTGTTTTTGGTTTACTGTTATATTTAAAAGCTAGCCGTTGGTTTTCTTGTTTGAATTGATTTACATTTTGTTATTTCAGTATAAATAAGAAGATCTGGTATGAGTGCCAATGAGACAACTCTCCATCCAGGTCACAATGTATCAAAAGTTAACAATTATAGGTCAAAGTATGGCCTCAACACGGAGCCTTGGCTCACATCCAAATGTCAGGGCCTTTTGTAACTGACTTTAGATAGGGTTTTGCTCATTGATGAAGACATAGGGTGACCTATTGTTGCTTAATTCCAATTTATTTGATCTCTGGTGGATAGTTGTCTCAGAAGCAATCATTTTATATCTCCTGATTTTTTATATACAGGTAATAAAATACCAATAATCAGTTTGAGACCACTACTAAGGCCATTACAGAAAAAAGATGTAGGGGTTAGAAAGGCCCCTTTCATACAAGTTTAACACAACTGTTGTTTGAATTTGTGTTGGTTAAATACTAATGATATACTATAAGTTCAAAGATTAATTTGTGCATTTATTATTGCGAATTCTTGCCCACGTGCAAAAATACAAAATCTCATTAATGTGATTGCAAAAACGTATGAAGGAAAGTCACTACTGAAATTATGAATGGAGTTTTTATTATTGCAAACCTGACACTGTTGTATTTTCCACATTAATAAAAACATTGCAATAATTTCTGAATTTACATTCAATATATAACAAAAATAAATGTATATATATATATATGTGTTCAATATGAATTTATAAAGATAAAAAAAATAATAATTCCTATTTTTTGTAGCTTTGACAACAGTTGAAGGTATTATACAGAGAGCTGTAGAAGGCTTATCACAAGATCAACCTTTAAGAAAGGTAAAATGAACTCATCACATATACAAGGATTGAAATTTTATATTCTAGACATGCATTTTGTTTTCAAAAGACTATCAGTGACACTCAAATAAGATAAAGTTAAAAAAGCCAAATGATTTAAAGTACAAAATTGAAGAGCATTGAGGACCCAAAATTCCAAAATTTTTTCCCAAATACAGCTAGGGTAATTTATTCCTAGGGTGAAAAAATCCCTAGTCTTTTGAAAAAATTCTATGTTTTGTAAACAGTTAATTTATAATTTTGATCATATTAATGATAATTCATGTCAACTTAGAAGTGCTGACTTCTGGGCTGGTGGTACCCTCAGGGAGGAAACCTACACCAGCAGTGGCATAGACCCAGTGGTTGTAAATAAACTCATCTTAGATACCAGGATTCAAATTTTATTTGCCAGACACGCATTTCCTATACAAAAGGCTCATCAGTGATGCTCGAATTAAAGAAGGCCAAATAAAGTACGAAGTTGAAAGCATTGAGGAACCAAAATGCTTCAATAAATCTTTACTAATGAGCACCTTCAAAAACTGAATTTTACCAACCAGGCAAAACATAGCAAAGTTGACAAACAAGTTGAGATATGCAAAATGAGAAATAATAATGCTATCAGTTTTCTTCTACTAAAACAAAAACTTCACCTGTCTTACAAATCAGCTTGATTTTTTGCTGTATGCTTCTAATCCAAAGAAGTGCAATCTTTTCCTAATCCACAAAATATACACCCATGAAAAAATAAATGTTGAGTTTGATAAAAATGTATTTATAAATCTGATAAATTATTCTAATTTGCTGATTTTGTTTGATAGATACAACACCCAGAAATAGCAGTCCAAATTGATGAATTCATTGTTAAGCTTAATGAACTTCTGCTATTGAAGGAACCATTTGACCTAGTAAGTATGATGCTATGACTTCTATAATAAGAATTTGCCAATATACAGTTTATAATAGAAAAACAAAGGATATAGAGTATCCATCCATGCACATTTATTATTATACCTTACTCTTCAGAGTATTTTTTGACACTTTAAATTATGAGCGGGGTATGTTTAGTATAACAACACTTGCAACTCCTTGTTTTTATTGTATGCCCGTCAAAGACGGGATGTTTTATGGTAAACCAATGTCGGTCCGACCATCCATCCATCTTGCACTAGTTATAGTATGCTTGGATCAAATTACTACAAATTTGACATTGTTATTGAGATTTGTGAATGTACTCTTTTGATTTTTATTTTTTTCTGATAAGTCATACTTTAAACAGTCATAATTTTAGAATACAATAATTATATGCTTCAGGGTATCATCATGCATGTTTTTCTACAGAGCTGTTTTATTTGCTTCTCTGCTTTATAAATGCTTTCTAGATATCCCATTTAATTTTAGCAACAATTTCAATATGCACAATAAGGGCCCATCATGTGCTCTTGGTGCAGCTTATTATTATATATCTAGTGAATCTTGATATTTAAATACTTTGTATTAAGTTTCACAGAGATTAATACTTAAATAACAACTTGAATTTATTTTATTTTTTATTTTCAGGTCCTAACAGACCCAAGTGGAAACAGTTATATTGAAAATTTATATCCTTTTGTATCATTATTGTCCTTTGTTTTAAAAAAAAGTTTTAAGTATTTTTTAAGTTGAATTATGTATTATTGTAGAAAAGTTTCTATGTAAATGCAAGATGACACTAATTAAAAGTGGAACCATATAATTATAACTTGCTGCAAACACAATAAAGTAAAATTTTCTTCCATAAAATAAAATATTCCAGAAAAATTTATACATTGTGCTACATTTTAAGCATAACTGATTTTGAAGGCATAATAAAATCTAGTATGAATAAAAGAAGATGTTGGGTATGCATCAATGAGACAACAACCCAACAGCAAAATAAAAAATAAAAGAGATGTAATTTTTTGGCTAAGTTGACATTTTATGAAATGTATTGAATTTTTCTTAACAATGGTAAATATGCACCTCAGACCGATCCTCAGATGAAAATTTCACATTACAACAGATCTAAAGCAGATAATGAAAACTTAGGATTGTCACAGGTAAACATTACTACAAATATTAGCCAGTATTAAAATCCTTAAATTATCATAAGATCTTTTTCATGTGTTTTTTACAAAAAGATAATTTTGTTAGTTTTATTATGATATGAAAAGGGTGGTAAGAGTCAAAGAGAAGAAATTTCCAAGTTAGGGTGAGAAAGGGTAGTTTCTGTTAAGTAATACTTATATTGAAATCAAGAGATGATATTAAGCTTTTTAGCACCGAAGACACATGTTAGTATCAAAACCTTTCTGTACATAAAATGCATGTGTTAAAGTGAGATGGGTAATATGAGGATATATACCATTAAATTATCCCTCATTAATTCATCTGAATATAAAACATTTCTAATCTATATGCATGGCTAAACAAAAGACTAGTCATAAAATAGGCTTGGTGTGCTTACACTAACTTATTATTTTGAGGGAGATGCAAAATTAGGTAAAGATAACAAAATATTACAAATATACCTACCCAAAAATATAACGGAATAGAAATTTTTTATCAATGGAATAACTAGCCAGTTATATCTTCTTGGGAAAAATCTAAATCCTAACTATTGATCTGAATATAGTTTCATCTATACTAGCTAATCAACGGTTTTACCAGAAGTCCACTAGGCAGTTCTAACTTGTGAATAGTGATGACAAATTAGTTGCAGATGTAGTACTAGTGTTTTGCAGTTTAATATCACAAAAAAAAAGTCAATTTACATTTTAAAGCTATTATAGTACTCCTTGATGATCAAAAGTTTAAATGCCTTGCTTGCACACTTTGTTTGGATGTTTCCTCAAATATTGTTATTAAAATTGACACCATAATTCAAAGGGTAGGAGGAGTAACAGTCTGTTTACAATATATAAAAATTTGATCTGATTTGACTGGAAACAATATGGTATTCATTGTTCAATCAAATCTTTGTATATTGTAAACAGACTGTTACTCTGCCTACACATTGAATTTAGGTGTCAATCTTAATTACTATGTGTGAGCAAACGTCTAAACAAAGTTTGCAAGCATGGCATTTAAACTTTTGATCAACATGGAATATTATAATAGCTCTAAATGATCTAAATCAGTTTGGAAAAAGAGAATTAAAGAGACAACAACACAGAAAATTTATTATAGATTATTCTAAGTTTTTATTGTTGTTGTTCATTTAGTTGATAGTTGGTGTATTCTACATTCATTTTGTAATAAATATGTAAAAAACTATGTGAATAATAAAATGTTTTCATGACATTCCATTCAATCATTGTGTATAGAAATGTTGATATAACTATTGTCAGGTAATTTCACACAAATATGAAATAAAAAATTACTTTATAATAATATTTTAGGATGCTGAACAAGAGATGAAAGAAAATGAAACATTTAACATGTTTGATGCCAAGGGGGAGGTATGAATATTGAATTATTTGTATTATTTGTAGAGGTTGTTATGTAATGTTTTGAAATGTATCAAAAATATGACAAAATATAGTACATTTCTGTACCATCCTTTTTATACGACCGCAGTCTTATATTGGTATGACGTTGGCGTCGTCGTCGTCCGAAGACACATTGGTTTTTTCGCACTCTAACTTTAGTTTAAGTGAATGGATCTCTATGAAATTTTACCATAAGGTTCAATACCACTAAAGGAAAGTTTGGATTGATTTTTGGGGGTTATTGTACCAACAGTTAAGGATTTAGGGGCCAAAAAAAAGCATTTTTATACGACCGCAATCGTCTATTGGTATGACGTCGTCGTCGTCGTCCGAAGGCACATTGGTTTTCACAATCTAACTTTAGTTTAAGTGAATGGATCTCTTTGAAATTTACCATAAGGTTCAATACCACAAAAGGAAGGTGGGGATTGATTTTGAGGGTTATGGTACCAACAGTTAAGGAAATAAGGACCAAAAAGGGGCCAAAAATAAGCATTTTTGTAACTTCCAGACATAACTTGTGTGTTAGTGTATGGATCTCTCTGACATTGTACCACAAGGTTCCATATCAAAAAAGGAATGCTGGGATTGATTTTGGGGGTAATTGCCTCCAAATTTTAGGAATTAGGGGCCAAAAAAGGGGCAAAAAACAAGCATTTTTTCTAATTTCATGACATTAACTTGTGTGTAAGTGTATGGATCTTTCTGAAAGTGTACTACAAGGTTCCATATCACAAAGGGAAAGCTGGAATTGAGTTTGGGGGTAATTGCCCAAAACGTTTAGGAATAAGGGGCCAAAAATAAGCATTTTTTCTAGTTTCCAGACAATAACTTGTGTTCAAGTATATGGATCTCTCTGAAATTGTACTGCAAGGTACCATACCACAAAGGGAAGGCTGGGATTGATTTTGGGGGTAATTGTCTTAAAATTTTAGGAATAATGGGCCAAAAAGGGGCAAAAAAAACAAGCATTTTTAGCTCACCTGGCCCGAAGGGCCAAGTGAGCTTTTCTCATCACTTGGCGTCCGTCGTCCGTCATTGTCGTCGTCCGTCATCGTCGTTAGCTTTTTACAAAAATCTTCTCCTCTGAAACCACTGGGCCAAATTTAACCAAACTTTGCCACAATCATCATTAGGGTATCTAGTTTAAAAAATGTGTCAGATGACCCCGCCAACCAACCAAGATGGGGGCCATGGCTAAAAATAGAACATAGGGGTAAAATGTAGATTTTGGCTTATATCTCTGAAACCAAAGCATTTAGAGTAAATCTGACTCGGGTAAAACTCATTATCAGGTCAAGATCTATCTGCCCTGAAATTTTCAGACAAATCTGACAACCTGTTGTTGGGTTGCTGCCCCTGAATTGGTAATTTTAAGGAAATTTTGCAGTTTTTGGTTATTATCTTGAATATTATTATAGATAGAGATAATCTGTAAACAGCAATAATGTTCAGCAAAGTAAGATCTACAAATAAGTCGTCATGACCAAAATTGTCAGTCGACCCCTTTAGAAGTTATTGCCCTTTATAGTAAATTTTTAACAATTTTTCAAAAATTTTAGTAATCTCTTACAAAAACCTTCTTCTCTGAAACTACTGAGACAAATTTAACCATACTTGGCCATAATCATTATTAGGGTATCTAGTTTAAAAAATTTGTCCCATGACCCTGCCTTCCAACCATCATGGCCGACTTGGTTAAAAATAGAACATAGGGGTAAAATGCAGTTTTTGGTTTATATCACTGAAACTAAAGCATTTAGAGCAAATCTGACAGGTGGCAAAAATGTTCATCAGATTTAGATTTATCTGCCCTGAAATTTTCAGATGAATCCGACAACCCGTTGTTGGGTTGCTGCCCCTGAGTTAGTAATTTTACAGAAACTTTACAGTTTTTTGTTATAATCTTAGATATCATTATAATATCTAATATCTAATACTGTTAATTATGATTTTAACCTTATTTTACATGATTTCCAAAGCATCAGTAAATACAGGTGAGCGACACAGGCTCTTGAGAGCCTCTAGTTCTTGTTTCAGGACAATAACTTGTGTGTAAGTGTATGGATCTTTATGAAATTGTACTACAAGGTTCCATATCACAAAGGGAAAGCTGGGTTTGTGTTTGGGGGTAATTGCCCTAAATGTTTAGGAATTTGGGGCCAAAAAGGGGCCAAAAAACAAGCATTTTTCTAGTTTCAGGACAATAACTTGTGTGTAAGTGTATGGATCTTTCTGAAATTGTACTGCAAGGTACCATACCACAAAGGGAAGGCAGGGATTGAGTTTGGGGGTGATGAATCATAAGGGGGTTCAAACAAATTTGGGGGGGGGGGTTTTCCTTTTTTTTTCTTTAAAATTTTCCGTTTTAAATTGGTTATTTCTGATTTATATATAAAAGCAAATAATACCGTAATGATATTGTTTGAATAGGTAAATTAAAATTTTTAAAGTTCTTAGACCACATTCATTCTGTGTCAGAAACCTATGCTGTGTCAAATATTTAATTACAATCCAAATTTAGTACTGTATCAAGCTTGAATGTTGTGTCCATACTTGCCCCAACTGTTCAGGGTTTGACCTCTGCGGTCGTATCAAGCTTCGCCCAGCGGAGCATTTTATTCACATATATTGACAGATTGTCTTCTATCTAAATTGAAGTTGCTACTATGATTTGATATAGAAAAAAAGATTTTTGGATTTTAATTCATATTCAGAGTTCCTATTTTGCATTAACACAAATATCTGCATTTCAGTGATAAATAATGAAATAATAAAAATTAGTGTGTTAAGGTATTAAATTTTTTAGGATTTATATTTCCATGTTTTTTTTTAATGAGATAGCAATGAAATTAACTTACTCTCTGCTTAATTTTAATTAATGCTGATTGGAAGATAAATATTTCTCTTGACCATTTGCTGGCTCCCCAACATATCCTTAGAGAAGAAACCATTTATGTGAAAATAAATTCTCTAGAATCAAGCCAGATCAATGGCATTTTTATGCCCCACCTACATGACCTAGGGGTATTATGTTTTTCGGTCTGTGTGTCCGTTCATCCGTTTGTCCATCTGTCACGCTTCAGGTTAAAGTTTTTGGTCAAGGTAGTTTTTGATGAAGTTGAACCAATCAACTTGAAACTTGTTCCCTATGATATGATCTTTCTAGTTTTAATGCAAAATTAGAGTTTTGACCCCAATTTCACAGTCCATTGAACATAGAAAATTATAGTGGTAGTGGGGCATCAGTATACTATGGACACATTCTTGTTAAGCCTTTACCTCTGTCCGTTCCTATGTCTGTATGTCAGGAATTGGTTTCCGTTCTCTAAGTTTAGTTTGCCTCAACCAAATGTTATAAAAATTATACATAATGCTTATTACCACAAAACACAGATCAGGTATGAATTTTGGTGGCTTCACTTTTACCGTTCTAGAGTTATGCCCTTTACAAATGGAAAAATTGCTGAATTTTTTGTTTCCGTCCTCTAACTTAAGTTTGCCACAACCAAATGTTATGAATCTTATACACAATGCCTATTACCACAAAACACAGATCAAGTTTGAATTTGGGTAGCACCACTTTTACTATTCTAGAGTTATGCCCCTATACAAATGGAAAAATTGCTGAATTTTTTGTTTCCAGTTCCCTAACTTAAGTTTGCCTCAACCAAATGTTATGAATCTTATACACAATGCTTAAAACCACAAAACTCAGATCAAGTATGAATTTGGGTAGCATCACTCTTGAGTTATGTCCCTTTATAACGTTATATGCAAGCGGGGACATCATCTGTGTCCCATGGACACATTCCCCATTTATTTTCAAGAACTATTACGCAATTGTTAGATGTCTAACTACCTATTTTTTAGAGGAAATAGTTCAATTTGGGTTTAACTACCTTAGCATTTCCAATTTTTGTTGAAACAGTTTAAAAGCAAAATAGCTGTTGTAAAAATTAAATAGAAATTACAACCTGCATCAACATTGGTTAACACATGCATGTTTTACAGGGGTGCTTAACGACATTGACTTCCCATGATCAATAGTTATTATACCTTCAGTGCAAGACCCTCATGGGTAGTCAAGGACGTTAAACACCCCTGCAGTAGTGATTTCTGACATTCACTTCACAAAATTTGTTAACAGCTTTGCTGTTTGGAATACACTAGTATCATGAGTATTAGGTCATGTCTTCTGTGTGTATTTGTTAAAGTCTGTAGATACATTGTGGGAAAATTTAGAATTTTTAAATTATGCTAATTTGCATTTACTTTTAGATTGTCAATATAAATAAACTAGTCGCCCAATTTTTCCAATGGAATGTAGGCTTAAAGCTTGTGTCCTTAAAGTATCAAAATGAATTTATGATATGTATACTTTTTTTTTCAGGTTGCTACTTTCGAGACCAATTGTCCATCATGTAACGAACTCTGTTCAACTAATATGAAGGTAGTTGGTATCCTTGATCAGAAGACTATTCTCTACAGTATTTGAAAATTTATAATTAGAATGTAAATTAAACATATTGTTTGACAAAAATTTCAGAAGCTAAACTTTATAGATATAGTTGAATGTCAAAAATAGTTTCTTATCTTTATATGGAATCGACTGCAAAATTATTATACCAGTATTTATTTTAATCTTGTATAAAAAGACCTCAACTTTATATTTTCTTAACACAATGTAGACATTCCTCATTTCAAAGAAGTTATCATTATGGCTACAAACTGTGATAAATGTGGACATCGTGACAATGAGGTCAAAGGTGGCTCAGGAATTGAACCAAAAGGAAAGAAAATCACCCTGAAGATCACTGATGTTTCTGATATGAACAGAGATGTTCTGAAGGTATCTATACTACTAAAATAACGAGGTCGAATTTGTTAGCCGGCATGGCGTAAAAGCGACGAATCAAATAATTCAACTTTATATATAACTAATATAGGACAATGGTGTTGATTAAAAATTACACCATTCTAGGCCCTTTTGTTTTCAACATAATTAATATTATCAATAATTAACAGTTTCCGGGTTGAATCCGATACCAATACCAATAGTATATTTCACCTGTTACCTGCTACCTAATCTGTATCGCCTCTGTCAGGCACACCACCAAACAGTGTATTTGGGATTTGCTATATACATGGGTCATAATCACATCTAAGCTTCGTCATTATACAGGGATTGACACTTCTAAAATCAATCATTGTCACATGTAGTTTTCCGGTTGTAGTAAGAAAACCAGGACGGCTTAAACAGAAAGATTTTGAAAGCAGAGAAAACTGTGCACCTTAAATTCAGCATGACTTTATCAGATGACAATACGAATACTAAAAATCCAGGCTAAAAATAAGGTGTAGGTACCTTTATTCAGTCAGAGACCCGCCATGTCGCGGAAGTGTTCTAGTGATATATTATATAAAACACTTCTCAATGATAAGCAAAGAAAACAATTGTGGTTCCAACCAAGGCTTCCAAAACGGTTCTATATTCATGATATTCTGGACATTTGAATAATGTCTGGTAAAAGTCCGGCTGGAAAAAGCATGAAACGGTCATCTACTTTTTAGTTTTCAAGACTTTCTTAAGAGACGGTCATTTTAACATAATTCGCGATCTTTTTGACCCAACCTTTTGCCTTTAACAGCCACACATTTCCGGTCATAAAAGTGACATGATCATTAAGTACTATCAAAACAACCCCTACTCTAATACCTTCTCATTTTAATCAAGGCTAATTAGTTGTCGAACAGCTGAAATTTACCTGTTCAGGTGACAGGTTAACTGTTTTGAACCGGACATTGATCGGTCTATTCAAAGTTATTTTCTTACATTTCAGCGGTTTGCATCTAATTAATTTAGTCAAAAAGATTTAAATTATCAGAAATACGTTTACAAATATGATTTGAAGAAAAAATTAAAAAGGTGAAAATGAAAAATTGTCATAACCGCGTTGTTTGAACCAAAGACATGTCTCTGTTTGAACTAGTACACTAGTGCGCAGGTGTGAAATTTAATTATGCATCCTAATTTCTTCAAAAAATGCTTAAATTGTCATTGATACCTTTATCTCATGTTTATTTTGAATATTTTCTTGATGAAATAACATAGAAAGAGCTACTTACACTCATTCGTGCTTTGCAAACGTACACGGAATTTACGTATCCGTCTCTGGTCCATGTTTTACCATTGTCGCGATAACATCTGGTATTAGATATAAAAACAAAAGTAAAGTTTTTGACAATGTTATTTTGTACAAATAAAGAGTCTAAGGCAGATATAAGTACGCTGATGTTGCACACTTCGAATGATGCACAGGGCCTTGGTGGCCGAGAGGTCTAAGTAGTTACTACTGTAATCACTAGCCAGTCAACACTGAGGTTGTGAGTTCGAACCCCGCTCCTGCGGGTGCACTTGACTCCAATCTTAATTGACTAGGATTGTCAGTTTTCCTATCGAAGGTCAGTGGTTTTCTCCGGGCACTCTGGCTTCCTCCACCAATAAAAACTGGCCGCCACGAAATAGCCCAAATGCGGTGCTTAAAAGTGGCGTTAAAACACCAATCTAACCTACATTTTGCATTTCATTGACTTATATTAAGTTTTAAATCTGAATTCAGTCTTAAGATTACAAAAATATTAAAATTTCTATTTTGTAATTATTTATTGAAAAGTCCTGACAACTAACTGTGCAATATTTTTTAACATTTACCAGCTTATCATTATTAGATATATTTATGTTAAATATTTGAAAAGTTCTTTTGTAGAAAAGATTTAGAAACAACTGAAAATAACGACTAGTAGTATAGCTTTATATAAATGCAATGATTTTTTTTGTACCAGAAGTTGTATTTTGATAAATCATCATCTTGTTTTTCAGAGTGAGACTAGTTCTCTATCCATTCCTGAACTTGACTTTTCTACAGGCATGGGAACGTTAGGTGGAAAGTTTACTACTGTGGAAGGAATCTTGCTGGCAATCAAGGATCAGGTACTATAAACATATGATGATTCAGTGAATGGAAGTGTCACAGGGTGACTGTTGATGATTGAGGGTGTTAACACTCTAATTTAAAAACCTGTCAAACCTACAGAGTCATATGTGATGTTTGTTAAAAAAAATATAGAAGAGATTATCCATCTATTAAAGAATATAATTTCAAATTGTTAAAAATGAGAAATCTGGAGTTAAGCCAGACATTGTTTCCTTCCATATTTATGTCAGAAAAAATATGTGATTTTTAAGATTTTCTTAATTTGTTAATCTGTTTATATAAAAGAAGATTCAAGTTAGACATATTGTCATTATTTTTGTAAAAATTGTGTAAACAAATCTTTTGCAAAAATTTGAAGGCTTGCAGTTTAACTAGTTAGAACAAGCATATCATCCGGTCATATTGTACATGTTTTGCTTGTTAATGATGCATGGTTTATTACAGCTAAAGGATTCCAATCCATTCTTTCGTGGAGACAGCTCTGAGGAGAACATGAAAGGGAAGATCGGAGAATTCTGTGATAAAATTGATGAGGTACCGTTATTTTATTATGCCCCCTCCCCAAACAGTTTCAGGTGGAGATATATAGGAACCACCTTGTCCATCAATCTGTCCCTAGGTTTGTCTATCCATATGTGCCTTGTAAGCACAGCTCTTCCTAAATGGCTTATCTGATATAGATGAAACTTAACACAGTTGTAGAACAATAACTGTTTTAAAAGGTATATAATCCCAGAGAAACTTGTAAAAGAGAAGATAATGGAATTTACTTACTTATATATACTTATAGTAATGTGGGGCAAGGGATACTTTTGTGACTTCACTCATACTTATAGTTTCTTTTTTTCATTAAACGATTTCAGTATAAAGAATAAGGCATTTGGAAATAGATTATATTGTCTAGATGTAAGTCGAGATATGAAGCAGTCTTAACTGTATCTGTGGTACCCTTTATTTCATGTTTGATGGGAAAGATGCATTCAACATTGTCACCAAACTATGAATAATTTTGTGACAGAACATCATTGATATAGAGGAATGTGAAGTTAAAGGATAATGCTAGCTTCTTATTATTTTTTTAGAAGTTCGTGTGAAATCTGCCTCATATGAATAACGGGGAAAGTAGGCATGAAGAGGAGCATGGTAACACCACCTATTCTTGGCCTCCATTCTTATCCTAGTTAAATTTTTCACTTTCAAACATTTATCAGGGCGGGATCAATATATACATCAGACCGTAAAGGTTACCAGAACTTTGGATACCTCAAACAGGTACTTCATATCTGAGAATCAGGAAATGTATGCCCTCAATTTTAGAATTCATTCATACAGTTTTGTATTATTCAAAATTATCAGTCAAACTGTGTTCTACAAGGACCACCAGTCTTTTACCTTTTATTTGATACCAAAATTACAAAAATACATTCAATAATTTTACATAGTTTGATATTTACACCTATTCCTTGGAACTATTTTGTTTTGAATATGTACTACTTTCCAGTATGTTTTTTTTTACCGGGCCTGAGTTGGTGGTGTTACCTCTTACAAAGTCTATCTGAATTATTTTTGCAAAGAATTCTGCTTTAGCTGGTGCTAGGACCGTCTTTTTTTGTTTTTGTTTTTTTGCTCTGTGTTGAAAGCCTCATTGTGACTTTAAGATGAAGAACAGCAATGAAAAGGCTGTTCCTTTGCCTTTTGGTTTTTTTTTTGCTGTGCATGTACTGACTTTGTGCCATATCCTTTGGTTTTCTATTATAGTTGGTTTCCATAAGAAGGCAATTGACTGTTGCAAAACATGTCTGTGAAATTAAAAAAAAATTGTTGTTAATAAAAAAAAAATGCATTTTGATGATGTTGCTTTCAGAGAACTTTTGTTTGGATCAAAGTGGTGTATCCCTTCCTTAAACAAGATACTGTGAAAGTACTTTTATTTGTGGGTATCAATATTTGTGGTTTGATAAAAAGTGACATGTTCGTGGGTTCTTCAATTCATGGATTTTAGTTTCTAACAAAAAATCAAGTGAAGAATTTGAAGCCATCAGAAACAAAGATTCTTGAAAATATTCATATCTTGTTTTTAATATAATGATTTGTGGGACATTGCAAAATAAGGTGTTTATTTTCACAGACCATGACATTCATCAAATTGTTAATAAAGCAATTGCTGTCAGAAATAAGCTGATTCATCTATACTTACAAATTGTCTCCGTTGAAGTAAATTAAAAAGTGAACATTTTAATTGTTGCACACGTGTAATCAGAAGTTATGACACCAATTAACCCGAGATCAAATGATCAACAGATTGACAATCATCAATGGTGTTAATTGGGTAATAAATATGTCACTTGAAGAAAAAGGTAACATAAAAAAATGCTACAAATGTTCTTTGAACTGTAGAATTAATTCTTATGAAATAAAAAAGCAAGTCCAATTTGCAATTACTATTTTTTTTCGTTTAAGAATTTTGAGGAGATAAAATCATCGCAAATCATCACCAAAAGTCTGACTTTCATCAATCAAAACAAATTTATCATGAGAATTAAAAGGTTAAAAGATGTACAGTTTAAGTTTGTTTAAAGATAAAATGGGTAAAATCCTGTCTGAAGTTGTATATAAAGTTTATAGTGCATTTGTAGATATTCGATGTTTTCTCTAGATTATAGGCCCATATCAATGTAGTCAAACCTACATGGGGATCTTTCCTTGTCATGATTTGGACAACAGTTGTTATATTTTCTCCATATAAAGCCATCCACAAAAACCACGAAAAATGGTACCCCACATATAAAAGTACTTTCACGGTATTTGTAAAAAGACAGGGACTATCACAAAAGAGAAAAAAACTGACAATCACGAAAGAGAAACAGACAGTGACAATGACAAAAGAGAAATCAGCATTTGCAAAGTCAAAAGAGAAACAGACTGACAATCACAAAAGAGAAACAGACTGACAACCACAAGAAATAAACAGACTGACAATCACAATGGAGAAACAGACTGACATTCACAAAAAAAAAATACCAAACAGACTGACAATCACAAAAGAGAAACAGACGATGACAATCACAAAAAAGAAACAGACTGACAATCTCAAAAGAGAAACAGACTGACAATCACAAAGGAGAAAAAGACTGACAATCACAAAAGAGAAACAGACTGACAATCACAAAGGAGAAACAGACTGACAATTACCTAGTAAGTTAAACAGACAGTGGCAATCGCAAAAGATAAACAAAGTGACAATCACAAAGGAGAAACAGACTGGCAATCACAAAAGAGAAACAGACAGTGACAAGCACAATCATCAATTTATTCTCTTATTTTGATGTATAATTCTAACTGATAGTATGAAAAACATATTTTATCTTCCAGATCATTGAAGGAAAAAGATTGGGAATCCACTTTGTTTTGGATGATGCAACAGGGAACAGTTATCTTCAGGTATATCATTTTTTTTGTGGATCTTTAGGTCATTGCAGTATTATCTTTTTGGCAATGGGCTCTTTGGAATTTCTTCTGTTTCCTAAAGGAACTACAGTTTTCATGAATCAATGAAGAGCAAATGGAAGTTGTGATTTTTATATGACCGCAAACAAATTTTGTGGTCGTATATTGGTATGACGTTGGCGTCGTCGTCGTCGTCGTACGGCGTCGTCTCTGTAGTCCCAGGCAAATTGGTTTTCGCACTCTAACTTTAGTTTAAGTGAATGGATCTTTATGAAATTTTACCATAAGGTTCAATACCACAAAAGGAAGGTTGGGATTGATTTTGGGGGTTATGGTACCAACAGTTAAGGAATAAGGGACCAAAAAGGGGCCAAAAATAAGCATTTTTGTAACTTCCAGACATAACTTGTGTGTTAGTGTATGGATCTCTCTGACATTGTACCACAAGGTTCCATATCACAAAGGGAATGCTGGGATTGATTTTGGGGGTAATTGCCTCCAAATTTTAGGAATTAGGGGCCAAAAAAGGGGCAAAAAACAAGCATTTTTCTAGTTTCATGACAATAACTTGTGTGTAAGTGTATGGATCTTTATGAAATTTTACTACAAGCTTAAGGTTCCGTATCACAAAGGGAAAGCTGGAATTGAGTTTGGGGGTAATTGCACAAAACGTTTAGGAAAAAGGGGCCAAAAAGGGGCAAAAAATAAGCATTTTTCTAGTTTCCAGACAATAACTTGTGTTCAAATGTATGGATCTCTCTGAAATTGTACTGCAGGTACCATACCACAAAGGGAAAGCTGGGATTGATTTTGGGGGTAATTGCCTCAAAATGTTAGGAATTAGGGGCCAAAAAGGGGCAAAAAAACAAGCATTTTTCTAGTTTCAGGACAATAATTTGTGTGTAAGAGTATGGATCTTTATGAAATTGTACTACAAGGTTCCATATAACAAAGGGAAAGCTGGGTCTGAGTTTGGGGGTAATTGCCCTAAACATTTAGGAATTTGGGGCCAAAAAGGGGCCAAAAACAAGCATTTTTCTAGTTTCCAGACAATAACTTGTGTTCAAGTGTATGGATCTCTCTGAAATTGTACTGCAAGGTACCATACCACAAAGGGAAGGCTGGGATTGAGTTTGGGGGTGATAAATCATAAGGTGTTCAAAAAATTTTTTGGGGGGGATTTTTTTTTTCCTTTTTTTTCTTTAAAATTTTCCATTTTAATTTGGTTATTTCTGATTTATATATAAAAGCAAATAATAATGATATTCTTTGAAAAGGTAAATTAAAAAATTTTTAGTTCTTAGACCACATTCATTCTGTGTCAGAAACCTATGCTGTGTCAAATATTTAATTACAATCCAAATTCAGTGCTGTATCAAGCTTGAATGTTGTGTCCATACTTGCCCCAACTGTTCAGGGTTCGACCTCTGCGGTCCTATCAAGCTGCGCCCAGCGGAGCATTTTATTCAACATTAAATTTTTCATTCATGCCATTGGAGTGCCAATTTTTATTTTGCAACTACAAATAATATTCGTAAAGAAATTTAAAAATGGAAGTTAAGAATTTCCAAGTAAATGCATTGCAGTTCCAAAATAGTCCAATGTGTAAAATAAGATTTTTTCTTACTGAAACTGGACAGGGAATTCTTTTTGCATCTGAAGGAATCAGTATAAAAATTTTGTGAGGTAAAAGAATCAATCCTAAAAATGTTAAAATTGACTTTTTATGGTAAAAATAGGTAGATTGGTCATTTTTGGCTCCCCTGGCTCTTTTTAAGTGAGCTTATCTCATAACTTGGCGTCCGTCGTTGTCTGTTACCTTTACAAAAATCATCTCCTATGAAACTACTGGGCCCAAATTTAACCAAAGTTGGCCACAATCATCATTGGGGTATTTAGTTTAAAAAATGTGTCCGATGAACCAGTCTGACAACCAAGATGGCCGACATTGCTAAAGATAAAACATAGGGTTAAAATGCAAGTTTTTGTTAATAATTTGAAAACCGTTATAAATAAAGAAAATCTGACAAGTAGCAAAAATGTTCAGAATGCTGAGCTCTACCAATTATCCGTATACATCAAAACTCTCAGACAACTTCTTGTAGGAGTTATTGCCCTTAAGTGACAAATGTTACCAATTTTTCAGTTTTGCCTATTATCTTGTAAACTATGATAGATAGAGAGAAACTTTAAATTGCAAAAATTATCACCAAGACAATTCCACAAATATGTACAATATGCTCGAAATCGTCAGTTGAGTCCATATTAGAGTTATTGCCCTTTGATGACGATTTTTACCATTTTTTTCCCTTTTTGCCTTATATGATAAAAATTATAATAGATAAATAGTCACTTTAAATCACAAAATGATCAGCAAGGCAAGATCTACTAACAAGTCAAATTGTGCCAATATAGTTGGTAGACTTTCACTCTTTATAGGAGTGATTGCCCTTAATGAGGATTTTTTTTACTCTCTTTTGTGTTTTGAGCAAAAACTAAAGAAACTAAACAGACTAAAGGATCAGCGATAAAAGATCAACAAAAAGAGATTTTTTTCATGAATTCTATTCTCGTTTACAATGTTGGAGAGTGTCCTTTGTTGAATATGCATATAGACCAAGGTGACAACACAGGCTCTTAAGAGCCTCTAATTTTACTTTAGTTTGGGTTAGATTTGAATGACCATAATAAGACTGAAAATTGCAATTTCCTGTTAAGACACATATCTTTTACTTTACACAGATTTGCATAAAATATATAACAATGCTTCTCTTCAAAATTATAAATTTTTGAAAGAATGAAATTGCATAATATGTTATTAAGTTTCTCAGGTTACAGAAGAATATGTTATTTTTATAATGTAAAAAAAAAATCAATATTAACATGATTAAGAAAATTAAGTAAATAAGTTAAAACTGGTAAATCGAATCTTTTTATAACTTGTTTTTCTTTGATAGAAAATAACATGACCTGTGTCCAGTTTAATGGTTAATAAAATGAATGTTTGTGTGTGTGTAGAAAGAAATGGCATATTAAACTGTTTTCAGATAAGTTTTTTCATATACAGGATGTATTATATTTTAATGGGTAAATTTTTAAGATTAAGAACTTTCAACAAAGTTAAATTATGACATAACAAGTAAACATTGTTTTTCAGTATAGTTAATCAATGAGTGTATTCCCCCCTACACACCACACAATATGTACAATAAGCATAGGAGGAAAGGAGAGCCGAAACCTAATTAAAAATTCAACATACAAAAGTAATTTCATAATTTCTTAAATAGTTTTTAACTTCAGAGTTGCCATCCCTGTCTTTATAAAGAATTACTGTTATATAATAAAAATTTAGGTTCTGACTACACACTAAACAAAATTTCAAGAGATAATCAGGTAAAGGTTAAGCAATAATACATTCGTCCATACGAATTGCTTAATTTTCAATAACACTGACCAGACCATAAATAAGTGTTATTAGTTAATTGGGTACGCAGAAATAAAGATTTGGTGTAGTTAATTTAGTACTGTAAGTAATTCCATTTCAATTTAATATTGCAGTTAACTACACATTTAGTAGTTTCAGGGCCCAAAAATCAGTAGTTTCAGAGAAGAAGATTAACCAGATATAGGAGTTTCAAAATGTATAGAATAATTTGATGAATAGGAAGTCCAAGGTATATTTGACATGAATCCATGACAAATTTAATCTTGTTTTAAATCCATTTCAATAAAATGAATTGAATTGGAGTCAACAACTGTACTTTGATATCTTTATTCCATGCTATATAAAAATAACTGTATTTTAAAACTTTGTAGTTGAAATAAGAAAACTGGACAAAGTCAAGGGAGATAATTCAGTATTACAATCAGTTTGATATGTTAGATTTTTTATTACCCTTGAAGGGTAACTAGTATATAACCTTTAAACAAATTTAGTTGTGTTAACACCAGACATTTCCTTTAAGTTCAGACAAACCTATTGGGAATATTGTAGTCCACTTTGTTTTGAATGAAACAGCAAGGAACAGTTGTCTTCAAGCAGAGACATATATACACATGTATGTGTATATAATGTCTCGATCTGCTTCAGGTACAACAATTTTTTCGTGTTGATCTTTAGGTCCTTGCAGTATTTTTGGGGAGTTTTAAAATATCTTTTGGGATATTTGCATTTCTTCTGTTTCCTAAAGGAACTACAGTTTTCATGACTCAATGAATTGAAGAGCAAATGGAAGTTATGATTTTTCGACATTGAATTTTACATTTATGCCATTGGATTGGATTGCCAATTGTTGCATTGCAACTACAAATTTTATTCGTAAAGGCATTTAAAAAAGGAAGTGAAGAATTTCCAAGTAAATGCATTGCAGTTCAAAAATATTCCAATGTATACATTTAGAGTTTTCCTTAGCATGCTTACTGAACCTTTTTGCATCTTATTAGATCAGTATAAAGATTTTGTGAGGTAAAATAATCAATTCTAGAAATGATGAAATTGACTTTATGTTAGAAATATGAAGATCGGTAATTTTCATGCCCCCAACACAGTGAAGGGGGCATTAAGTGTTACCCTTGTTCGTCCATACGTCTGTAAGTACGTACATTCCAAAATTGGTTTCCGTTCTCTAACTTAGTTTGCCTCAACCAAATGTTATGAATCTTATAGACAATGCTTATTATCACAAAACACAGATCAAGTTTGAATTTGGGTAGCGTCACTTTTACTGTCTATTTTGCTGAATTTTTTGTTTCCATCCTCTAACTTAAGTTTGCCTCAACCAAATGTTATGGATGCTTATTACCACACAACTCAGATCAAGCTTCACTTTTACCGTTCTTGTTATGTCCCTTTCTACAGTTATATGCAAGCAGGGGCATCATATGTGTCCATGGACACATTTCCCATTTATTTAAGATTGTTTCTTGAAATTACTACCAAACAATTATCAACCAAATGTTTTGCTAGAATTGCAAAACCTATGTATGTGTCTGTA